GTTGAAGGGCATTGAGTTGAAGGTCCTCCAAATGTAGATAGGTACAACTCAGACGGGCAGGAAAGAGCTACGTCACTTTAAGGGTGTAGGCTAAAGTGTTTGTAAAGAACATTAGGAAAGAATGCTTCGTCCTGGTTTGTTCGTGGGTGTCGTAGCAGTGGGTCTTGCGAGTCTACAAGTGGAAAGTTTCTCTATCTGTTGTTGTTCAGGGATCAGGATTCAGAAACTAAAGTTTCGATTTGAGTTCCCTACTTGATGGATGGGCTGTTGGCTTAAGGTTTAAATACTCTTAGGGTTTACGGGTTTAGGGTTTTTTGTCAGCCTGCTGCCCTCAATTGCTCCGACCGCTCACTCTGGCGATCTACAGATGGGTAGTCTTTAGGATATATGGTTTAAGGCTCAGAAACTGGTTCCGAAGCGGCATGGGAAGTAGTGCTTGGTGACTTTATACGCTGACCTTGAAGACGGAGACTGGGTTGTAGGGTTTATGGATTACGGGTTTAAAGTTAGCTTTTTTCCTCTTTGCTGGAGTTCGAATGACAGGAGCTCTCCTATATATACGGGTTTAAAGTTAGTTTTTTTCCTCTTTGCTGGAGTTCGAATGACAGGAGTTCGCCTTTCGTTCGGAGATTTCCCTTCGTATCCGGGCTTTACAGAGCTGGGAGATCTCCTTTCGCCCTTTTGGAGAACTACCACGGCAGGAAGGAGAACTACCACGGCAGGAAGGAGAACTGCCACGGCAGGAAGGAGAACTGCCACGGCCGGAAGGAGAACTGCCAGCCCCGAAGGAGAACTACCTAACAGCTGCTGCTGCTGCTGCTGCTGCTGCTGCTGCTGCTGCTGCTCTGCTGCTCTTCAGCTTTGCCACCAGTGCTGCTGCCCCTCAACTCTGCAACCAACTTTGCGACTGCCATTGCCCTGGATGCTGGATGCTCATCAACCAGCTAGCCTTTGCTAGGGAACTCTAGCACGCAGCTCTTGCTGGATGCTCTTCAGCTGGCGAGCTGTCGCTATGGAACTGTAGCACAGAGCTCTTGGTGGATGCTCATCAGCTAGCTACCTAACATTTGCTATGGAAGCACAGAGCTCTTGCTGGATGCTCATCAGCTAGCTGCCTAACATTTGCTATGGAACTGTAGCACAGAGCTCCAGCTCTGACTCTTCAATCGAACTTCTGCCGCCGGTGCATTCTTTCAGAACCGAACACGGCTTGAGCCAACTTACAATTAATTTAGGGTCACTGGGGCCTACTGATTAGGCTAAGAGCCACCTAAGCCCGAGGCTCTGGCTGGTCGTCGTGGTTGGCCGCAGCGCGGCCGTCATCTCTCGCTGCCACATCTTTGCGGCTAGTGGTTGGGGGTTGTTCAAATTCCCAGAGACTCCAAAACCCCTTACTTAAGGAATTTGCCTTAGATCATATCCTAATATAACTTAAGCCAGCTATTTCCCAAAAAAGGGGTTTTGGAGTCTCTGGGTTGATTGTAGGGTGGCCAGGGTGGGTGTAAGGGATCTGTATGGCATTCTTAGCTGGTGGCTTTCGGATAGTAGTGGTTCTGGGCTTCGCTTCAACTTAATCTAGGGTCTGTGGGTTTGGGTTTCCTGCGTATAGCTTACTGGGTTTCCTGCGTATAGCTCATAGCACTGCAAGAGCTAACAGTCCAGGCTTAGTATTAAGGCATAATATGTAGGCCATACAACGTATGTAGAGTTAGCTTGCGGTCTAGTGAAGGGTCGTTACGGCTTCGAGCACCCATGTGTTGTAACTTTCTTTGTCGAAATTAGCATGCAAAGTTTAAGCTGAATCCTGGGAATCAAAAATGGCGTATTCTGGAACGATTTCGCACGAGTTTCTAAAAATGGCTCATTCCTGCTACAGTACGGATCATGGGCATCCGGAGCATATGGAGCATCATTGCATCACCCTCGGAACATCGTTGCGTCTCCCGCGACCATTTTCGACAAACAGAAGCAGGGTAGCTGTGGGTAGCTGTCACAGCTGTGACACACCCAATCCTTTGTATTATCCGGGACCCCGAATGAAACCAAATCGGCCCCGAATGCGACCAAATCGACTTCCACTCGGATTCACTCGCGGAATTGGCCACCGACCCAGCGCTCCTTGGGTTCATCGATGTCGCAGGGGTAGCTGTAGTAACCACGGTCGGAGGTGTCGGTGGTTGTGTCGCGGAATCATCGTCATCATGCCAAGGATCTGGCGACCTCAGCCTCGTCTGCGGTGTCGTGGTAGTCGGTGGGGCCGCCGGAGTCGGGGCTGGTGTCGAAGCGGCGATCTCATCCGGGATTTCGACGATCACCGGGGTCTTAGAGTGAAGCCATCTCTTCGCCGGTGACTGGGATCTCTTCGGGAATCTCGCCGGAGAAAGCGGTCGTTGTGATCCCCTGGCTGCTCCATCGCCGTGGCGGAAAGCAGTTCGGGGTTCACGGCCGAAGCTGGGTGCATCGGAGTCCGTATCCGTGCTGACCTGGAAGAAAGGTCTCCTTGGTGTCGTCGGCGTCGGAGTAGTCGAAGGTGCCGTCGATGGGACCGCTGCCGGAGGTGCTGTCGATGGGGCTGCTGTAGAAGGGGCTGACGAGGGAGCCGCTGAAGGGGGCCATCGGGGTCTCGAAGTAGGGAAAATCGCTCCCCGTGTCGGAGTTGAGTGTTGTCCCCAGGTCGCCGGAGGTCTAGATTCCTCGCGAACTCTGCGAGGAGAGCGTCCGCGACGATGCAGGCCATCCGCGATCTCTTGTCGTAGTTGTTGGGCAGCATCAGATCTATCCCACGATTCGTAGTCGTAGTACCTGGAGAAGTTTGTGCCAAAGTTGAACTTGCGCATCTCGGCGGAACGGAACGTGGTCATCGAGTCCATGATCCACTCACGAGCCTGTGCTCGGTTGACCTGCTCGATGATTCCGTTCTTCGACGAGTAATGGTAAGGTGGTTCGCCTCGACGATTCTGTCGTTGTACTACGAAAGCTTGTCGCATAGCTTCATCGAACGTGTGGCCATGTTGATTCCAGCACGTATTGTGGTACTCGCAGCATCCCTGGAACCATTTGTGGCATATGAGGTTGGGCACTACCCACGACTTGTTGAGGAAATCGGGGTGAAGGTATCCACAATTGGCCATGTTACAGTTCTTCTTCTCGAGAAGTCGGGGACAAAGCTGTCGTCGTATCTCAGAGATGGGGACTTGGGCCGTGTCGCTGACTACTTCGGGGTACTCGTTAAGCATCGACTCTGGAACAGGGGCCGTCATCTTCACCAGCGTGCCCTCGCAGAGAAAATCGAACCATGAGTCAGCTCGGGTACGTGCCATGGCTACGAAGTGACTAATCCAAATCGATGGTAATCGAAGTAGTGGGCTTGAGATGCCCTTCGAAGTTCCGCTTTCGAGCTTTAGAGGCAGCGGGTTCAGGATTATGTAATTCCATGCCAAAATCATCACGCAAAAGGTCTGCCAAATGCTGATTATGCAATTCAGTCTCATGTGCAAGAAGGGCTGCGTCGGTGTCTGGAGGAAGAGGTACATGGTCGGAGTCAGGGTGTAGAGAAGCCTCGACGACCTCGAAGGGAATCGTCAACTGCTCCGCGGTGTCGTCGCGGTTGGTAATGTGCAGGTACAGGAAGGCCTCGAGATTGGGCGGCTTCAACAAAGTCGCCGCCAAATTGACAATGTCGTTCGCCGTCTGACAATGGGCGATCTGGTCGATGGCCTTTCGTATTTGTCGGGATTGTCGTTTGTTCCAGGCTCCCCACGTCACATCCTCGGGTTTCTCGATTTGAAAATCTTCGAGAACTTGCTCGCGGCTGAATTCCTCGAGCGATTCCTTCAAACTGTCAACAACTGACAGAGAAGCCGTAGTGCTCGAAGTACTGGCCGCCAGCAGCGGTCGTAGTAGAACTCGGGGTACTGGCCGCCCGGAGCGGCTATGACCGAGGAATGATCCGAGGGGACTGAAACAAAATTTCGCTCAAGCTGTAACAGCTTTCGCCAAAATGGCCACGGAGTATACAATCATTCGACATGAATCGGTGAGTCAATCCCCTGACCGATTCGGTGTTTAAGTGAGATATGAAGTTGTCACTTCGCACAAACAAGTGTGTGCTACACTACAAGAGTTTAGTATCTATGCTACGGTGTAGGTGCTATAGCTTCCCCTTGTTCTTGAGGGTTTGGTGCTTAACTGACAAAGAGCAAAGAAGCTTCGAGGGCTTCGGCCTGGGCGCTCGGGTTGAGGGCGGACGTCATTGAACCAGCTGTAGCCGCTACTAACACAAGGTCTTGAACTCGTGGGAGTTTGGAGTATGGATTTCGCAGGTGCCTCGACTCTCCCTCCGTATCCGGGCTGAAAGATTGCTAGATATACCAGGAAGAAATGAAGATCAACAGCAGGCTAACTAATGTTCTTGACACTGAAGGTGAAGATCTCGTCGAATCCCCTCGTCCAGCTGCCAAGTAAGTAAGTACAGCTGTTGCCATGTTGGTTCCGGTTTCTCTGATACCATTGAAGAAGAATGCTACCCTACGCATTCCAACGCCTTCAAGTGTAGCTGGTGTCGTCTGGTGCGAGATCCAGAAACCTTACCTTGTTGTAATAGTAATAGTAATAATAATAGTAATAGTAATAGTAATAGTAATAGTAATAGCATTAGGAGGGTCGGGTTTCAGCAAGCCACGACGTCCACCACGTTGAAACTACGTAGAATCAAGGCTTCAGGGAAAGGACGTCACCTAGCCGCCTGACAATCTGGGGTAGATTTTGTGGCTTGGGTTCGGGTTAAGGCACTGCTGCAACTGAAGCTGAAGGTTGTGGGCGTGGAGTTTCTAGGCTTTTTTGGGTAGAGGGGTCTACATATCAGTATATAGACCTGACTGTAGGACATCTAGTTTTTGACACCATCACGGGCGAGAAGCGTTCGAGCAAGTCATGGTGGCGGCTTGCGCAGCAATATCTATAGCCGACCGAACTTGATGTCACAGATCGCCCTCTGCCGCTTAAATGCCGAAGACAAACTCCTGCCATCTCCGGCGTTGTGCTTTGCATCGCCGGACGCAGTCCTGGGCTGGGTCCCCCCGGTCTGGGAGAGTTGCCATGAAGCCAGGCATCGAAGCGCTGGCGACTGGCATCGGACGCTTCCGGACTGCAGTCAGCAGGAGCTCTGACATTTTCCCGCCAGTTCGGGCGGTCTGTCCGACGAGGCCATTCCGACTCATCCAAGATTGGAGCTGACCGAAGTTGCCCAAGTTTTGAGGAGGAATCCTGGAAGGCTGCTCATAGACTCTGAAGAAGATGCGGTGTATGAAGTCGTCCTGAATGTTCGGACCCTGGTAAGGCACAACTACGTCACCTCTAGCCTTGTGCAACTGGCCGGCCGATGCCACGCTGATGTTTGCCACAGCCCACATGGGCTCTGCCCGAGAACCAGCGGAAGGCCTGCTGTCCTCATCGGTCGCTGTCAGCAGCAAGAACTGTTTGCCCGGATTCACGGCGAGTGCTCTCAGAATGGGCGGCGTGTTTTGCCCAGCGACTAACCCGACGGCGTAGGCATGTCGAGGCATAGGTTCCCCTGGCGGCTTCAGGGCGGTCGATTGTAGGGCGACGAAAGATGATGCACTGGAATCTTGCAAGTGGTGCAGCACATTGCAGGTCTGCATCGATGCACCATGAGCCATGCTCAATCGGGAGTTCCTCTGCTAGGATGTGCGTTGATGGCGAGTCATGCCCAGCGGGCTGTGTGGGGCAAACGGCTTCCGAAGCTATTACACATGCATGCAGCTAGAGCGTCAATCATGCTATGTCGATGCAGCAATGCACCATGTCCCTGCCTGATCCTGCCGTCTCACGTAGCATAAGCCGAAATGCCAAGGTTCAGGTCAAAACAGCAGTGGCGACATGGGAACGACAAGAAGTGACAAACTGGCCTTTATCATGTCGCTGCTGCGTTTATTCCGATATTGTGCACTTGCCATGTCACAATGCCAAGGCCCCAGTACAAAGACATTCCTTATCAAGAGCCTGCACCTGCCTGCTGGACTTGAAATCTGCGCTTGATTTGGGCCGGGCATCAGGCCAATTTTGGGTTGCAAATTTCAACTTTGCACTGAGTGTCGGGTGTAAGGGCAATCCGTTTTTGATGGGCATTGAGTAGTGCTGACTGATCAAATGAGCTAAAACTGGGTTCCTAGATCCGCATGTAACCTGCCATGCTATTCGTCGCTAGGCTAGAGGCCGGGAACCACACCGAAAGACACAAGCGCCAGACTCCCACATACATACAAATGCTCAGAGCCTGCTAACCTGAAAACAACTACGACCTATGTCTCCTTGATTCCCCAATCTCCTAAACCCTGAACAACCCTAGAGCCTCAGAGGCTCCCGAAGACCCGCCCGGCGCCTGCAGCGCATTGCGCGATGCCTCGAGATCGAAGCCGAGCCTAGGAAGTTCTTCGACGCCGGGGCCGGAAGAACTAGGCCGTCTGTGTGTCTACGACATATTCCTTATGGGGGTCATATAGGGATTATTATTTTTATTTTTTGGGGTTTTTTAAGCAAATAGTAGGTGTGTGTGTGTGTGTTGTGTGCATGACAGCTGGATAGATGGATGGATAGATAGATAAACGGATAGATCATATGGTATATGATGGAACTCCAAGGGGATACTAGTGCTAATATTGTTCAAACCACTACATCACTGTAATGGCGAAGCAGTGATTATGAGTCACTGGCTTACAGCTTAACGGGCAAATCTATAGACTATTCAGGCAGGGCGGTCTTGTGAAGGGGAACTACCTTCAAGCCTCGTGCTAGCACCTGGCTCCCGTCATGAAGGGGGAGGCACTTTGAGGCTGTGGCTTGTAAAGCTTGTTCAAAAACCTGCGTCGGGACTGAAGGGGCGGGTTCTTGGGGATGAGCAGCAAAAGTTTGGGCTTTTCGGGTGCATCATATACGCGTGCGGACACCTGGGCTTCTACAACACTTGACCCAGATCAGATCATAACAGGTCTAATTAAATTAGCTGTGCCAAGTGGCTGCAGAAGCTGCTCCAAAGCCAAGCTGCGCTGAGGATCACCTCATTTGCACTGCTCTCTTGTTTTCTATCCTTTAGGGGCCCGCGCTAAAAACACATCCTGCGTCTGGTGCATACCGGATACACTCCCAGCAGGAATGAACAAACCATGCGGTTGTATCGTCCACGTGACGAAACACGCCTTCCACAGCCCGGTGTGTGGTAAGGGCGAAGCCCTCAGGGGTGCGGGTGGCAATGAGCTAGGCCAGAGCTTCGTCACGAGCTGTAATGACATCCGCGAAGCCCCAACACTCTCGATCCTCATGCTCACCATATTCGGCAAGAAACTCCACAAAGTCTGACCCATCACATCGCTGCCCAGCTGGTGCGTGCACTGCCTCATCTTCATGGCTCCAGAGACGCCAACGTAAGCGAAGCACGAGCTGCTGCATTTGAGGGCACCGAATGCCTAGAGGTTCCACCAATGTCGCACTCTTGTAAGAGGAGGGGTCCTGTTCTTCCTTCAGTTCGGATTCGGGTGTCTTGAGCTGTATCGACTTTTTCTGTTGGCCGCCCGAGCGAAGCCTGACTGAAATCAGTATGAGCGGACCTGCAACTAAGGCTCCCTGCAAAAATATACAGCAAACAAACGGGATCCTTTCCATGAGAGCTCTCTAAACAGGATGCCCCCTGCTGAGAAACTTCTGTTACATATCACCCCAAACAAATTCTTGAAACGTACTGCAGTATCCAAGCCACAGCTTCGCCAGCTCATTGGAGCGACGCGGATCCTCGGGATCGGTCAGAGTCTGCCACTGCCTTGGGAGGTGTCCAGGCTCCGACGCTTGCAACAGATCAAGGAAGAACAAGTAGTAGCACGTAGCCGGAGGGGCAGCAGTGGCAGCAGCACTAGCAGGGAGCTGGGCAGGGGTAGGGGCAGGAGAGCAGTAGCGGTAGGAGTAGGACTAGGAGTAGCAGTAGGTGTGGGAGTGGGAGGGGGACTGGCAGTAGGAGTCAGTAGTAGTCAGTAGTAATAATGAATAATCATAACAAGAATAGTAATAAGTAAGTAATAGTATAATATGAGCAATACTAAGGTAGCTGCTGTTTACATGACGTCGGACAAACTTACCGCTTGCATTTCAGGCATTAGAGATCGATCTGCGCATACTATCTGAATTGCCCCTTTTTCATTGCATCGAGAAATCACGCAATGTCTGGTATCAGAAGCCACTCAAACATGGCTGCTCATGCCGCTCGGCAAGTGCATGGAGAGGGAATCAGGATCACTGCTGTGCAGTCCGAAGTTTGGACGTGGATCAGCACACTTGGTTTGACATGTCTGAATTGCAGCAAGCCCAGTCGCTTCTTCATCTGCATGTGGGTCGGGTAGAAGAAAATCGGCACCGTGATGCGACCCCCCTTTGCAGCGAGAAGCGACTCTGAGGTGTTGAAAGCCCTGCAGTGACGATACTCAGGCTTCGGGTTTTTCAGAAAGCACGTCCTCCAACCAAATACCCTTACAAGCCCGAAGCAATGAACCCTCAAAGTTAAGCCCTGCGAAGAACTTTAACATCAAACGGAGGATCTAGGTTGTTAGGGTTAGCTTCAGCTCGGATTTAACGTCCGCAAGACATGAAACTCATCTCTGAAAGCCGTCGAGCGAAGCCTTGATCTCTGGCATCTTCGGGACGCCATGCCGCTGTGTGCCAAAGATTACGAGGTCGCCTGGGTACAGGCACTCGGGATTCCGGACTTCGGAAGGACATACAGGGCTTGAGGTGTTGCGTACAGACTGGACTGGGAGGCTGCATCAGAAGTTGCGATCCGAGCATGTCCCAATCATGTCCGAGTCGCAGTCTTGAAGGAGCAGAGGCGTCTTGTCGATCCTGTCCAAGACGAATCTCTTTGCAAATCCGCCGGGCTTGAATCGAAGCATGTCATATTCCCAGGCTCACGGCCAGATAATAGCTCTGTGGCTAGTGGCAAGTGGCGCCATACAGCAAAAAAGGCTGAGGCGTTGCGCTTACATGGGCCTTCAGAGTTTAGATTGGGGGTCTTTGGCCATCTTGGCCCCTTCTTGTCTTCGGTTCTGGAACAAAGGAAGTGGCTGCTGAGAAGATGCAAAGCCCCGAATCCGGCCGGGAGTCGTCAGAATGCGTTCGTCGCCGAATGAGAACAGTGCAGTCCAACAATCGTGGCCTCAAGGGCCGGATGTTGCGATAAACGCGGCATATACGCACGGGTCAGGAGCTAGACAGGGCCGTATCTCCGAGTGCAGGAGGCGGGAGTGCAAAGCTGACATCTTCGTTTACAAAATCGACAGCATCTCGGGAAAGAGTGGGGCTGAACCCCGTTTCAAACCGAAATCCAAACCTCCTAAAATGCTGCTTACGGGTTTAAATCCCGGACCACAAGCCCCTTCCAAGCCCTACATGGGTTTACAACCCCCGGCATCTGCTGTTGAAAGCCCGGGGAGCGGTGACTTCCGAGCACCGAATCGCCATCCTCGTGCTGAAAGGTCGAGGGAGGAATGGATCTGCGAGAGTCTGCGTTGCTCTCGTTAATTAAGGTCCATGTGGTCGCGAGAACGCATGTTTTGTTTTACCCCAGCGCCCCCAGCTGAACAACGTCTCAGGGCATTGGGTTTTCGGTGTGCAATGCCAAAACCCGACTCAGCTCCCTGCAACCGAGTTTCTGGGTACCAGTTCAATCCTATGCCGGATGTCCGCTCTGCCAGGCCATACCTTGTCATCTTGCAGTTTGCCTTGCACCTTTTTTGCCTACCAGATGGCTATTGCTAGGCAGGTCCAAGCCACTGGATCCTGGGCTCAATCTGAATTTAGGGTTGGGCGGTGAGACTTCAGGCTGCCAGCGCGGGCTTGCCCTGCAAACCCAAATTAGCCCAGGCCCGGCAAGAATAACTCGAATGCCCCTGCCCGAATTGGAGACACCGACACCCCATCCCAAAACCCTAAACCTCAACCCCATATCCAAAACCCCGCGCTGCTCCCTCCCGCCCTGACTCTCTCTCTCTCTCTCTCTCTCTCTCTGCGTCCCGCCCTCCTCTTTCCAACATGACTTGCAAAACTTCAGTTGGTGCATGATAGGTAATCAATGCCACGCCGACAGACATGTAGTAAAGGCCAGTGCCAGCGCTTCATTGCGAAAAGAGCAAGTAAGACAGAAGCAAGCGCAGAAACAGGGAACATGACCGTCAACGGAACCTGAACCCTTGAACAACGATCAAACCGCTTGAAACCCTCAAGCCCAGTGCCCCAAAAGCCCGAAACCCTTGGAACCCGAACCCCGCATGACAAGGCAGGTCTGCTCGGAGAAGAACTTCTGAAGCATCCTGTCAAAAGCCGGGGATGAGCCTGAGACAAGGTGTTGCACGCAAGTGAATAGGATTTGGGAACCCTGCGATGTCTCCTGGTCTCAAGTCTAAAGGACAGGCAGCGCTGTTTCGGGCTCCGGAAAATGCTAGATACTGCTCTCCGGACCGATCGTGGCTCATATCTTGTGATGCCTTGCAAACTGTCCGGGTGGCGGTTAGCCCAAGTTCAGTGAGGATCCGGTAAGACGTGTGGACCGTGGGGACGGGCCAAGCTGAGGTGACGGGAGTCGGGCAGCGAGCCTGAAGATCGGCATGCCATAACGAAGCCTCTTTCCACACCATCTGCGAAATGCGAATCCTTTGTGCCAAGGCCCCCAGACCTAAAGTGTTGAATAGGTCGGAAGCAAACCTCCCAGCGCTGAACGAAATGTCGATGGTCTTTCTAGCTGAAGATGCTCAACAGCGGACGGCATAGCGCCGAAGCTTCTACTCTGAGGGGTGGGTGCTAAGACTAAGACTTTCTACTCTTGCAGCACCCAATGCGCCGAACTTTCAGCTCCAAATCACCATCCCTGGAGCCCTTGTATCCAGCCTTTGGTGTACTTGGCACTCTGGTTCCCCTGCAACTTCATCTTCCCCTCCTGCCAAAGGCTCGCGAATGCATGGGCCGGCGCATCTTGTGCAGCTTAGCCTCGCCTTGAGAACCATACGCTATTGCCCTCTCAAAACTCCGGGGTAAAGGTCCTTGATTCACTCGACCTGCCTGAAAAGGCTACCTCTTGTAGGGGCAAGGCCGTCCGGAGAAAGCAACTCTCAAGTCACAAAGAGCTCCACGACTGGTGCTTTCAATTCATCCATCAGGAACTTGCGTGTTACTATCTGTTGCAACGACCGGGAGGGACTGCCCCACAGTACCAGTATTAGCTGCAGCTTCATTCCTCCAGCCTGTGGACCTAAATTGTCAAAGCAACTGTGGACTCAACTACGCGAGCGTATTGGCTTAGACTATGCTTTGGTAGTGCAGGATGAACTGAAGCCACGAATCAGACTCCCGGCCATTCAGGAGCAGCCCTTCAACTCAGTCTGCGGTTGACACCTATCTTTAGGCCACAAAAAACGATCTCCTACACATACATACCTTAACTGTCCTAAGCCTCAAGATCGCCAGAGCCCGTCGTCCGAGGTCCTTGTCGTACTTGACATGGGATGCTCCAGTGGAGAAATCTCGGGTCCGAGCCGCGGACGACTTCCACTCCTGCAAGGCGCAACTTCTGGACTTTTGGCTTTACGAGCATAGGATCTTAGGAGTCGTTCGGGGGTGTAGGGCGTTTGGGCTCTGGATTTTTCTTTTGCAGGAGGGACCCAGGGTTGAAGGGCTGGCGGTTTTTCGGGTGTTCAATTCAAGTCTTACCGACCACAAAGTCCTCAAGCCGGACACTCCTACATCACAGGCCCCGTGCAACCACAACCCTCTTCAACCACTCTGAATCCCAAGAAACCCCAAAACACACAGACAGACACAGACACGAACACACACAAACACACACACAGACACATAGACATACAAAGAAAGAAAGAGAGAGAGAGAGAGAGAGAGAGAGAGAGAGATAGAGAGAGAGAGAGAGCGAGAGAGAGTGAGAGAGAGTGAGAGAGAGTGAGAGAGAGAGACAGAGAGACACCACATACTTCGTCTCCGTGTTGTTCAGGAGCTCGTCGTAAACATCGGGATCCTTGGCTCTCGCGGGATTCGGCAACCTGACGCTTCTGAGCTCGCCCTAGTTGGGTGCAGTTGGGGCCCCAACTTTGTGGGGCTTTCTCTAAAGATATTATAAAGTTTAGCAGCGTTCCCATTCTAGGCAAATTCTTACAGAGGGTCCTGAAAGCCCATGAAAGCTCTATGACCAGAACTTTCAACCAACTCCGAAATCCCTAAGCTCCGATGCCTAGGCTCCACATGGTACTTCCGTCGAACTTCGACATCCCGCCACCAGGCGGCCGTGGAGACCTCTGAGTTCCTTGGACCATGCAGAGGCAGTTTTATGGTATATTATGGTATATTATAGTATATTATAGTGTATTATAGTGTATTATGGTATATTAGAGTCTCATCCAAGATCAGGGATTTTGGTTGAATGTGCACCCTTAGCCTCTGACGATCTGAAAGACCCACTTACAGAAGTGCACGCTTCAGCTTTTTAAGCGCAGCATTCGCAACATCAACAATAGCAGCAGCAGCAGCAGCAGCAGCAGCAGCGCCAGGAACGACAACAGCACAGCAGTCAAATAGTGCCTATACACGAATGCAGACAGCGTTTTCTGCCGAAGATCTCTGAAAGCGTCGCTTGGCTCGTTGCAGTCTTCGTGCCGAGCTCTTTGGACATGTACCTGAGCTAGTAGTTGAAAATCAGGCCTGTCTGTGATGATCAACACAGTTCAGGTGGAGGATTGATGTAGTTATGCAGTTTCCCAATGGGGCTATATACAGGTTAGCCTTTGGTTCTGTCTGGGGATACCGGCACCAAAATATTGCGCGTGTTACGTATTCAGCGACTAAGTAGGGCTGAGGGACTAAAGTTGGATGGGGGATGTCGCGGAAGCGGGCGCGATCAACTTTGCAGGAGTGATTAGGTTGAGACGTTCCAGGACAAACCGGAGGACGCGAAGTGCCTGCACCTATAAACTGAAACTCTCTAAACGCACACACGCTGCACACATGTGTTTCGGCCACGGGGCTCATGAACACCCCAGGGGCGGGGAATTTCCCGCTCATCCTTCTGCCACCACTTGGCTACAAACTGCTCGGACCGACCAAGGAGCCTGCGCAATGTTACTGGGTTCTTGTTAAGGGGGTTAATTTGAAGTTACCATAATAGGTATCTTTAGTAAATAGTTATTATGGTTTCTGTATTACGTGGTAACTTTAGTTAAACCCCTTCACAAGAACACAGTGTCAGCCGCCCTGCATAGGACAAGGACAATGATCGACGAGAGACTCTAACCTAAAGATGACACGGCCATGGCCTTTGAATTTGCAAATGGTCAAAGGTCTCAAGGTTTGGGCTGCGGAGCTTCGGAAAAAGGAGAGGCAAACAAGCTCCACAGTCGATTGCATCTTGAGTATGCTACGGGCAGCCTACCGTAGGACCCCCTCATACATGGACCCTTGAAACAAGGAAGAAAATATATTAATGAGAACTCAATCCCACTCGCACCTGGCAATCTCTGCTTTCGTCTTGCCTTCCTTAGCAGTCCATTCACAGATCGCGAATGCTGCACACGTCCTTCGTGCACAGTAACTCCACATCTGTACGGCCAAGTTCTATGCAGCTACCTCAAGCCTGGAAACCCTAACTTCGCAAGGGAAGCAACATGTCATACACAGATATCAACAGAAGCCAACTTTAGACATGACACCCACGGATCTTACAGAGCCACATTATCGACAGCCAAGCTGCCTTGCGGAAGTGGATGCTTCGAAGACGGTCCTGCGAGCACTGAGTTACCAAGGTTTCTGCAAAAAGTCAGTGATACAGTGCTGCGACTCCGCAAGGTTTGTACAGATACGTCGCCTGGTTCTTCTGCAGCGCTTCTGAATAAAACCTATGCAGCCCTGGGCATCGTCATCTTGACGCCCAAACATGTTTTTTTTCATCACTCCGCCACACAAGTAATTAATGGATCCCGTCCGAAGTTCAAGACCTCAAAACGATTCCGACATGTGGATGCCCGCCGGGCATTTCGACAAAGAGATGCACAGCCTGTAGGCCCATAGACCCTTTGCTGCCGAATTGACTTACTGCGACAGCAAACCTCGCAGCATCAGGTCCTGGTAGGTCTTATGACCTTCGGAGGAGTTGGATTCAAAGTGTCCCTGCCTCAGTGGCGACCCGAAGTCTTTCGAGGACTGAGAGGTACGTAAGCAAGGTTTTTTGGATCTGCTCAGGACCCTTGACTTGTGCACGAAGCCTGCAGTAGTACTGCATCTGCTGGGGGCGCAATCGAGGGTCAGGGAAAAGCTGCAAGATTGCTGCGCACGCATCTGACTTCCAAGGAGGATGCAACGGGAAGGTCTCAGATCTGTGTCTGAGCTGCAGCTGGAAGTGGCTCTCGTCAAACTCCGTGATCTGCTCGCCTGCAGTGAAGGCTGCTTGCGTGCTAATAGGGTGTCGACCTTAGGGCGTCTCGGATTTGTTTCGGGATTCGACTTGGAAACTTGGGCTAAGGGCTTCTTAGTGTCAAAGGTATTTTCGAAGGTAGGTGTTTTGATGCTCATTCTCACCGCGAAAGCAGCAGGACCAAGAATGACTGCGTGTTTGAGTGTCAAGCGGGTTTTGCTCACAACTCATGTCTGTTGAGCCGATAAAGTGTATAGTCAAATTGCCTTCAAACCTCTCCCCTGAATAAGGATTAGACGCGGAGTCCGCATTATCAAAGCCCTCATCGATAAACAGGGTTTATCAGAAGCGTCCCCGATTTGTTGTCCATCCCCAACTCGATCCCTGCCTTTGTTGGCAAACTCGATCCACCGGTAGATCTTCGTGGATGAGCCGGAGGCAGCCCTGGCAAAGGATGAGCCAAGCCCTGTGCACCCCCGACGTGTAGAGTAGTGTACTGCATCTTGACACTCACACTCGCCAGGATCGCGCCCACGAAGCTGTTTTGCATAGAGACAGCTTCAGGTCAGACCCACAAATGACGCTCGCCATACCGTTGACCTTTATACTTGTTGGGTGCACGAATTGCAGAAGAGGCTACGGTGACGTAAAGAGCGATGTGTAATGATGTGTACAGAGGGATAGGATGTGCGTACCTACATGCATGTGTTTTTCGTTCGGCTTCTTCTTTCAGGTCCAGACCACAGAAGTTGAGGGCTGAGACTGAGTAGTGTTAGTTTCAGAGTTCCTTGTCTGGGGCAAGTTGCTTTCCCCGAAGCGCCCTCCTGCACGGCCCGACACGGCGGTGCAGTTTCTATGCGGAGCCGCTAGCGGACCTCGACCTCCGAAGCCTTGAATGCCGTTTTTACGGAGCCCTGTGAGAGTAAATCCTGCACTGCAATGTGCCGGCTGGGACTGTCCGTTCGGAGCTGGCCCTGTTCGAGCCGCATCTGAAAGCTTCTGCAGTGGCATGGCGCAGCGGCGCTGTGCTGCTTCGTGGTTAGGCCGTACAAGGCTTTCCGTACACTGTGGATTCGGTTGCGCGGCCCAGGGTTCGGGGCGATCTGAACATATAGGGCATCGCTACCTTCTCGATCGTGACGGGGTTGTGAAAATATTCTGGAAAGTTCCAGGGAAGTCTTGCCAGCGGCGTAAGGTCTCCTTTCCACACATTAATAGTTCTTCATGTTCATGCCACAGCACAGATGGCTACGGCCCGAAAGCAGACAAGCATCGTGCATTCATTCATGTACACAGCCTCTTCCAGCTGAAGGTGGAATCGAGACCATTCGCCTTATACTGAACATGAACGATGGTGCCTGCCTTTCATGCTGCTGCTGTTACTAGCACCACTACTGCTACGACGACTACTACACATCATCGCACCGAGTAGATACCACAGCGTTCAAACCCATCATAACTTTCATATTCATGTTGAGTATAATGCTTTCTCAGAGCTGTTAAGACATTCGACATACTACTGCTGTCTACAAGGTTTTCCTCATCCTGTTCTGATCCGGAAACAAGCAGGTGGAGATTCTTGGGTACGGGGTTGTACTGATGTACGCGAACTCTTTGCCCAAGCTTCAACCTTACATGGTGCATGGTTCCAAATCTTATTAACTCACGGAAACCCCTCCGGGCCGGCGTATCTTCCCTTGTAGCTCGCCATGGCCAAGCGCAGCGCCTGACAGCTACGGTGGAGTGTTATGTTTAGGGGTTCTGGGATTTCAGGCTTGTGTTTGTACGTAATTGGGGTGGGAGGCTAGCAGGGACCAATGTGTCGACGCTATGTCAGTCCTGAGTTGCACATGTGCACCCTGAGGGTTAGTTATCCCTGCCAGCAAAAGGCCATCGAACATTGTGCAGCTTGAACGGCGCACAAACACAGAAAGTAGAAATAGTTGCCTAGAAAGCCTAAGTGTCACAAGCGGAACTGCTCCGAGCATCCGGTTTACCTCAGCAGAAGAAGTAGGGAGCCACCTCTGAAGACAGCAATCAGAGGGAACACTACAGAGCCACAAGAGTAAAAGGGAGCCTCAACAAACACCAACATCTTCTGATCCCAGCATAGATCCCAAACGGTGATACCGTGCCAGACCACGACCACCAAGACAACCACGACCACCGGGCACGAGGAGACCAGCAGGGGGGACCACCAGCACTTCCAAACTGCTTCACCCCAGTACTGGCGGATTCAGGAGCACGGCCAAACGCGACAGCCTAAAGACCTAACCCCGAACCTTTGATCATGTAAGCTGCTGTCTTTCTGCATCCTGTAAAGTAGTGGTAAAGCAGCCAATCAGCTCGGTAGCTCCGCTTCCAGCCAATAGTAGGAGCCTGCTTCAAGGTGTACTCAATCCTGCGTGTCCTGGTCAGCAAATAGTCGCTGGCCCGAGGTGACGAGGACTCCCGACTCGGGGGGGTGTGGGTTTAGCACAGTTGGGTGTTTTAGGCCCCCTTGGCCTGCAAGGCGGGGGCTGTTTGGGTTGACAGGGTCAAAGCCTGCTAAGCTCGACCGTGATCTTAAAGTCTCAGGCATAAGACCACATAGGCCGCATGCATGATACACACATAGCCAAATTCACTTGCGGGCATTCATTGGATGGCAGCTGTTTAGACCATGGCTTAATGGCTTAATCCACTGCTGAAGAACGAAATCTATCAACAGCCATAGCATAAAGGACAGGCTGAACGCCATGACAGTATATGGATTGGCTGAAGTGGTTGGGAAACAGGCAGGAGCTGCTGCCTTGCAGCCTTAGGCCTTAGCCTGGCAGCCCTTACGTGGGACCTGCAACATCGCTGCAACGTCGGACCCGGTTCCAACATGTACTAAACAACACATTCGCGAATATGCATCTAGAGAAACAAGGTGCATAATGTACAGCCTCTGCACCCCACCCTGTCCTGCCGAACCGCTCAGCAGTTTGATTGATCCAATCTGGGGGTCGCCGCCTCTCAACAACTGATGCTGAGCGGAGGACGGTTGCAGCATGAAGCGAAAAGCTGTTCCACGCTGACCTAGGAATTACGACAAGATGTCGGCAGGAGTTCGGACCCATAGATCCAGGATAGCAACCCCGAAACAGTATCCGTTTGATGAAGATCGACTTCGTCAGGAAGGCCTGAGTAGCGCCCAGCACAGGTCCGAGACGAAATGGTTGCAGTTATGCCTGGCCGGCTGTGTCTGAAGACTTTTCGCCATACAACATAACTCATCAAGCCAACACTGTACCTCGCAACTATACTTTATACATCTTTATACGCATGAACAGATTTGCAAAGCAAGGGTCTGCCTCAGATGCCACACGGGCCGAAGGTAAGCATACCCATGTATGGTATTCCTGATTGGGACTACTTACTGCTGCCTTTGGTCTTTCCTTGAAGTCACAGGATCCCGCTCATTTGTGTTGCTATTTACCAGGACTTCGTGGTAGCATTCGGCTTTGCCAGGTTCGGACTCCCAGGTGAATCCCCTGCAAGCTTCAGCCTATGGCTCTACATCCTCGGCATGTCATGGGCACCATGATATTTCATAAAACGCGTCCGAGGGACTGGAACAAGTCGTACATGGGTCCCTGCCTTTGCACACCAAACATCTGCAAATGGCTGATCTAAGGCTTGATGTCTGAGTCCTGTTGGTTGTGATATCAAACTTCGGATTGCAATACATTGAGCCCTAAACTCTAAGCTGGATGCAGGACTCGAACGTGTCCGGTCTTCGAGGCTCACGATCCCAGCTCCAAATTAATAGTCCATTTTGTTGCTGCCGCTTGGCACGGCTCTCACTCTCCGCATTGCAGATTTTGCATACATGCGAAAAGCTATACGAACCGAACAAAGACTACGTCAGCCAATGTACTTGCAAGTTGTGTAAGAAAAAGAACGATGGGCAGCCCATGCGATACCGTAGACATGGGGTTCGTAGGATTGCGTAAACATCCTGTTCCAAGACTTCCATTTGGCTCATCTTCGAGCTCCCTGGCTCAAAGGTTTTGGGATTTGCGCGGGGCCGAATAACAAGAAGAGGCCTTTGGAGTACGCTGGAGGTTACCTGTATACACTGCGAGCATGGGTACTGTAGGGAATTATCTTTACTGAACGTTCTGGGCCTCGTAGTACATAACGGGGTGTTCTTCGGATCCCGCCGAGGATGCTGCCACTCAGAGTCTGTAGCCAGCCGTCGGATGACGCTTTGTATCTGGCAAGGGGCCCATAGGGTTTGGGTCTCAGCGTTCCTCTGAGATCTACATGCACATGGATGTCCATCATTGAGCCACCGACAATCAACCCCGAAGCAAGAGAAACTGAAGCTTGGGCTCCCGATTGGAGGCTTCAGCGCTGAGTCCCTTTCGAGCTTTTGGGGCGTTCCAGATCATCAGCTTTACAACCCTTAAGCCCTACATGTTGCAATCTCAAACAAAAGGACTTGGGCCACTGATTTAGTAGCGCTTTACAGGGTTTCGTTTGTAGCTTCGGGCTTGCTGGCTGTAGGTTCAGAGTCCGGAACAAGCAGCCGAGGGTTCTCGCGAGTGGGTTTCGGAAGCGGCACCGGGAAAAGAAGGGAGTCTTCCTGGCCGTGCTAGCCCCAAACCAGTCCTATAAAGCATGACGTCAGACAAGTGAACCCGCCGAACTTAAGCATGTAAGTAAGCGGAGGAAAAGGAACTAAACAGGGATTCCATTAGCAGCACTGGCGAACGAAAAGGGATCAGCTTGGCTTTGAAACCGGGGCTTCTGCCTTCATGCAGGCATACTACCAACCAAGCCTGCCACCCAAAACCGCTTCAGCTAAAATGTTAGGCATCCCCCAGTTCTGCGACCCGGAAAACTTACCCAAAGCTCCAAGCCAAACGACTGTCTACGACCCCTCCGTCTGGGCCCCCTCAACCCCAAATCATGTACGAATCGTAGACCCTCAAGCCTCAACCACTACACAGCTCACAAGCCAAAATTCCGGGAACCTGTTGTGGGCTGGCCCGTACACGACCCATCACCTGGCAGTCGGCGGAGCTTGGGAGCTGAGGGTTTTGGGACGCGTGCGTCGGGAAGGGTTCAAAGTTTCAAGGGTCAGTGTGGATCCTTCCTTCCCCCCTCATGACCAACGCCTGTCTTCCGAACTACGTTTCCGATCCTGTCAAGAAGATTTTCGGCACTAGGACTCATTGTGAAACAATGAGACTCGAGTCTCGAGTGTTTAAGGAGGTATCTCTTGCAGGTTTGAACCCAACCCGTTTGTTGAATGTCCCTGGGTTCAATGTTCGACTGTCCGGTAGCTTTGGACCCCTGTCATCGATCAGTCCAGCGACCAGCGGCCACAGCTTGAAGCTTGTCATCGGTCAGCCTTTGAGGAACTCATCACAAACTTTCACACCTTTGATTGATGATGTGCAGCGAGTGACTGCAACCGGAATCAAGCTGCTGCAGAGAATCAGCGACGCTTGCCCCCTATCTGCCTCAGGCATTACCTGTTCTAGACTGGATGTGGAGGCGAGCGTCTGTTTACAGGCCGAAAACTTACTAAACCACACTTCCCAACAAGTGCTTGCAAACTGGCATCAACTATCTGGCTTTCAAGACTTCCAGGCTGCCACTTCCAACAGCCTGGCACTGTTCGGCATCCCCGGAGGCCTAGATTCACGGGCTGAATGTGCCAAAAGTGGTCGTGGGATACAGCACTCGTCGTATCGTGAGGGTTGCAAATGAGCCAGCAGGGCCACGCGGTCAAAGAACTGGTACTCCTGGGCTCGAATTTCTGGATCTGCAAACGTCACCGAAGTCAGCCCATGAATTTTTGAAGGATTCATTGAAGGCACTCCACCCTGGACAGGTGTAGTTAGTTGCTTCAAGATAAGTGGTTGAAGGGTCTAGTTGCTTCAAGATAACGGCAGCACCGTGCAACAACTCCTGACTGACAGGTTTAGTTGCAATCGCGCCAACATCACCAACGACCAACGGCTACTTTACCCCAGTCCTGGCTGACAGGTTTAGCTGCAGCGCGACGACGTCAGCAATTCCCCAACAACTACGAGTACTTTACCCAAAACATCTGACAGGTCTAGTTGCATCGCGACAACGTCAGCACCAACCAACAATTACTTTACCCCAACTCTGTCTGACAGGCGTACTTGCATCGATATCACTTCAACAAATCCCAAACAACTATTTTACCCCAATCCTGGCTGACAGGTGTAGTTGCATCGCGACAACGTTAGTGCTGACCAACAACTACTTCACCCCAACCCTGGCTGACAGGTTTAGTTGCATCGCGACATCGCCAGCATCGACCAACGGCTGTAACTAAGTTCCCCCAATCCTGGCTCTGGCTGACAGGTTTCGTTGCATCGAGATAACATCATCACCGTATTGTACCGCTCAGCAACTGCTTTACACCAATTCTGGCTGCCGGCTGTAGTCGCATCGAGATAACGTCAGCACCCCCGACAACTACTTTACCCTTATCCTGGCTAAGGGGCCTATTTGCTTATATTTGCTTCATCGAGACAACAACTACTTCACCTCACAGGTTTATTGCATCAAGATACGGTAACCCCCAGCAACTACTTTAATTGCGCCCATCCTGGCTGACAGGTTTAGCCGCATCGAGATAACGTCAGCAATGCCCAACGACGCCAAACTCAACCCTAGCTGACGTTCTTGATCTCTCCAAGACCCATAACGCCAGCACCGTCCGGCAACGACGTTCAGTACGCCAACCCAGGTGAACAGTCCAGCTCTTTCGACTATAATGTCAGCACCGCGCACAGCGACTTTACCCTAAGCCTTGCGGCCCAGCCGTGCTGAAACTTGCAAAAGCCGTACCATTGGACTCTCGGAAGCTGGAGCTAAGCCCTCCACCGGATTGTGCTCTGGCTCGCAGTTGTAGGCGCCGCTCGAACCGGGCTCGCTGTGGCCACCATAGGACTGGGGAGATGCCAGGCCAGGCCAAGGGGCTTTGTGTTTCTGGTGTTAGGTTGTCGAGGGGTCCGGAGTTTAGGGAGGAGTCGGCTCACGGCTTCGAGGGTTTCAGGCTAGCCAAGCCGCCCATTCGTTGTCAAGCACGACCAAGCCGCTGTGATAGGCGCCTCGATAGAACGTGTCTGGGCTGTGTTCTATGTCGGTAGCATGTAAACTCACATTAAGACTTGCCATCTCCAGGCGGCTCTGTTTAGTTTCTCTGCCAGTGGGTATCGAGCCTGTGCCAAGTGAGCCGAGGGAGTTCAGCAGCGAGACGCCGGTGATGTCGAATGTGTAGACTGAGAGCCGAACCTGTCACATGGATTTTCTGCTTCTCCGACTACCAGGTTACCAACTGAGGACATTCCGATTGCCCGGGTTAACTAACTATTCACCGTGAAACAGACGTTCATCTGTCGATCACTACTGTGTAAATCTCTAGATGTGTCTGATTTTTGTTTGAGCAGGCCGCTCTCCGAGACATGTCGGGGGTCAAAACTACACGTCAGGTTTGCAGTGCGAAACCTGAAATCTTGCTGCTGCGGTGACCACACTGCACAAGCCTCGGCAGCAGAATCTTTACCGACTCTTCCATAAAACGAACTCCTTGCTCATTCTGCTCCAGATCGCAGGATTTATGCGGTTTGTGTTCCATGCAGAACATATGTAGGTGTTGTACTGCTGGGGGATACGTGCCTACAAAGCCACACAGCGTCAGTCAGCAGAGCTGCTGGGGTCTGCAGTGGACACGTCATGGATTCGATGGTAACTACTCCTTCTCTAGCAACCGAAAACCGACGAATTGAAGATGGTAGTGACCCTTCAACTTCTCTCTCACTCTTCTTCTCGCAGGCTTAAGGGGCGAGTTAAGCCCCCCGGGCACTACGGCCTGCCCGCGTGTTATGGGCTGTTTAGAGGGGAGTGAAAGCAAGATGACTTTATTCGAGCGAAAACTCTCAATCTCCCCATCTCTCTCTCTCGCTCTTAATAGACACTGCCCGTAAGCAAGTTTGTGTTCAGAGCCTCAGCTTCTGCAGGGACGGTCGGGGGTTTGATTGATTTTGGGCCAGGCCGCCTCATGGACTCCATGCGGCAGGTCTGGTTCGGCGTAGTCACCAGGCCTCAAATCGCCAGCAAGATCCACCCAGCTCTGCCAGACGTCCCAAGTCCTGCCCCTAGGCCTCCCAGTCTCGATGATGGCAGTCTCTGGAACCCAAAGAACAACACACAAAGACCGATAAGCATCTAAAGCAAGCGGCTGAAAAGAATGGTGACTGTTTTTGGTCTTGCAAAACTATCTTCCGTAAATACAGGTGCCGAAAACGGCCTGCAATCAGACGCATCCTGCCCGTCAGTATGATGCATACTCCCTGGTCTACTCCATAACCGTCGTACTTAACGAGCTGCTTTGTTAAGGAAACGGAACTCCGGGCATCCAGCTTTGCAGTCTGCGCCCCCATCGCTCGAGAGCATGGCACTTCCAGGTAGGCTTCGTGTCCAGGGCTATGGGCTTCAAGTCTCGGGATTAAGATGTGGGTCTGGGGCGTCAGCAGCTGTCTAAAGCTGTGAAGCTTTGCGTGGGCTCGAGTTAGTTGACGCAGCCGATCCCCAAATTCTGGTCTCTAGAACAAACTCTACAGGGTTGGCGGTACCCTCTATAAGCGGATACTACAATATTGCATAATGAGACTCCAGTCGTAACATAATCCTGTCATCCTCCTCGTTGTCTGACGGATCTGGGGGTAAATCCATGACGTCGGGCCCGCGAACTTGCACGATCAGCAGCAAGAATCAGTGAGCATCACGATCATTCCAAGTCTCCTTTTGCTGCCGCTGCATACAAGCAGACTGCAAGACTCACAGGCTGCGTAAACTCACATTGCTTCGGTCCTCCTCCCCTTATTCGGAGTTGGGCTGTGCTGTCTCGGCTTTGTGGCACAGGGGTGCTTGTCCTTACTGTTGCTGCAGTGTGGTTTCAGCTGTCCAGGCAGAACTGCATCTTTGCTGGCACAAATCTCTTGCGAGGGCGGGCTGTTTTTTGACTCCAGATGGAGATGCAAGCGATTCAGAGCTCACGAAAGCCGTGCGCTTCTGTCGTGCCAGACTTGCAGGCACGACCTCGGTCTTGGTGGGAGGCTGCACCTCACGGATCTTCCTTCCGTTTGGATTGCAGTCTCATGGTGTTGGATTCAGGTCTGGGCCCCGACAGATCGAAGAAGCAGCAGACTTCAGTCAGAACGCTACAAATCCGAAACGTATCCTGAGGCCTGACTCGTAAAAGACCCGGAAGATGATCGAGGACCCCGCTCGCCGTCCAGAGCAAGGACACGACAGCTTTGCGATTCGCCTCAGAGTTCGGTCTGCTGTTTCGTGTAAGCAGAAGCTAGAACATCTGTATCCTAATCAGAGTAGTAATCCCAGCACTGACCATCCTCAACTTAGCCTCCGACTTCTAGGAGGCCCCGAGACCCAGTCCCAAAAGCGCTAGATCCCTGAAACTTGTATATATATATATATATATATTTTTTTTTTTTTTTTGGCTCCTACTTGGCTGATCCGAAGACCGCAATATATATATATATATATATATATATATATATACATACGGCTCAGGTCAGCCGTGCTTGAGCGGTGCAGCTTTTGCAATTCGGCAGTCATGCAGGTCATAAGTCACAACATGCTCACAACTACACAGTTCTACCCAGAGCCTCTTCAACTGCACCAAGTATTCCATGATTATGAGGACCAGCTGTCACGAGTACGCCCAACTGCCCTCGACCCACCACCAGGTGCTGCACGTCATCCACCACTGGAGGCTCCTCGGCTATCTTCGCTACCTCGAGGACTGTTTGTTCGAGATTGTAGGGCGAGGTTTCTGATTTCGGCTGCGTGCGATTTCGGGTTCAGCACTTCAATGTTCTGGAGCATTGTCGTCTGAGACTTGGGGTGTCAAGGACACTCGAGATGGACCCGTCAACATGTAAACAACCTTGATGGAATTGAATGAAACACTGAACCCTATCGGACCCTTCCCAAAGCAGCTCTGAGCGCCTCGTCGTGGTCCTCTTCGACCCAGCGGTCCAGAGGCAAACGGCCCTGATGATCCTTCAGTGGCTTTCCAGCACCAGGCTTGCTGATTGGGTACCAGTAGATGGCATATTCCATGAGCTGTCGGAAGAGAGAATCATAAAGGAACACAAACAATCAATAACACAAGGTAACCAGAAATAAAGCGATCGAAAGAGAGAGGCGCATGTATAGAGATAGACTAGCCGATAGATAGATAGATGGATAGGTAGGTAGATAAGTAGATAAGGACATGAGTGGGAAGATGGGTGCATAGATAGGTAGATAGTCGATAGACAGCTAGACAGAAAGAAGGAACGAAGGATAGATAGACAGGTAGATAGATGGATAGATAGATACCCAGTTAAATACAAGGTTAAATGTTAAATGGAGAGTTGCCTTAACAATTAAACAGATAGATAGACAGTGAAGCAGATAGATAGACACATAGATACATTGATACAGCGAGAGATGGTTCATTGCAATACACCAAGCTAGTAGGAAGGCTTCAGAAAACAGAGACCCGCAACACAGACCCTAATTGATTCGGCCCATGAGAAGGACGCCTCCACGCGAGACCTGCTGAAGTTCAAGAACCCCTCGCAGCCCAGGAAAGAAACAAAGAGCTGCATATTAATATTGAATTAGTACTAATAATTATGCTAATATTAATACGAATATTAATACTCATTATAGCAGCTGAGGTGAGAACTCTGGAACAAGGCGAGGCCTCTGCTGCAAAGTGCTGTTTGTTGGTGTTTGGTTTGGGGCGGAGGGGAGGGGAGGGGAGGGGGGTGTCTTAAAATTAAATCCGGCAAGGCAAATGGCTTGTTATAGCGCTGATCGGCACGGAGATTGGGACTGGGGACCTGTCATCATCATCATCATCGTCACCATCAGCATCATTATGATGATTGGTTATGGTGATCATCACCACCACCATGATCATCATCAGCATGTCAACCCTCATCATATTCTTCATTGGGATTTGAGCTTGAGAGCCCGAAGCCCCCAAAAGAGCCCCAGGCCCTAAGCAGTGCGCGCCCTAAAGCCCTGCTCCGCCAGACAAACGCATTCGAAGCCAGGTCGGGGACGCCAGCTCTTAGGAGCTCCTGGGGCTTCTATTCTTGGGTTTGAAGGATAGGGGCCCTGATCATTTGGGCTTAGGGGATATAGGGTTTATAGGGTTTAGGGCAGGGGCTTGGTGGGTATGTTATAGCATGGCTATGTTTAGGAAGGCTCAGGAATCTGTGGTTTACGCTGACGAACTGATGTCCTATACATGGTGCCTACGCTGGCCTACTTTCAGCCCGGGAAAAACGGAAGCCCGCACAAGGCTGTTGTGAAGCTGCATTCTTCAACAGTAACCGAAGAAAAGAGGTCAGAAGAGATAGGCCATGCACTCATTGCTTCTTATGCTTGCTCACTATCTTTCCACCCCGCAGTCTAAAGTCTAAACCTGAGATCTGCAGGCAGCTGCAGATCTGTCAAACTGCATGACAGCACAGCATGTGTGAAAAGAACTGGCTTGGCTTATGCAGAGGGAGTGAGCATCCCAAATGGCAACCCGGCACAGTATTGACGTCCTCGCCCACTTCTTGTTCCTTCTCGTCTGAAACCACTACTCGTAACACCGCATTGCGTTGTCGCCGCACTCTGGTCGGATGCATTCCTTCCGGTGCTATCGCAACATCTGCATTTTCCCTGTGTTTCTGCTATCGCAGGACTCTCTGCTCTGATAGCTACCGCAGCAGCGCTTTCTGCTCCGTCTCCCCCTGTGCGATCGCATTGCTCGCATCTTCCACTGTGTTTGTGATTTAAAGCACTCTGCATTCGTGCTATCGCTGCACTCTCTAGCCAGATGTAGAACCCAGGTGCTATCGCAGCACTCACATTTTCTGCATGTCCGTGCTTGCGCAGCATTGGTATTTTCCCAATGTTGCTGCGATCGCAGCAGTTGCGCCTTAACAGCAGCGCAGTCGTGCTATCGCAGCACCGGCATGTCTGTGGAGTTCGCATGCACAGATGCAAAGCCCACCCACGAAAGTCCACTGACGTGTCACTTCCTGCAGCCTCTAGACTCGAAACCTGAGGCCCAAAGCTCCTCGATGACATTGACGTGGCCCAAATAGGCCTGAGCCACTAACGAATCGGTCCGAAACCACAACCATATTCTAACACTCATCCTTCGAAACACAAGGCAGCAACGCCCTAAAACACGGGTGCGTTATCATGGGGATCGCTTCATGCTGAACTTGGATGTCGAGCGAGCTGGCCCAAAGATGCCAACACCCCGAAGGCTTGTCACGCTTCCCCAATTGCCGGATGCCACAGGATCTTTGTTACGAAGCTGCCTGTGGATATAAGCCTAATATGAGCACTCTATAAAGCTCGTGGCCGTCATTCGCACCAGGTCGCGCCCTCATCCACTGGGTATCAACATGTCTTCTTTTTTGAAAACTATGAACCCTCGACCCCTGACACCACACCATAATCCCAAACCCATAAAACCTTAAAGCCTATATGCCGTATACTCCCTGAGACCTCAGCTTTAGGTCCCTAAAACATGTCTGCCATTCATCCGAGGATTGGGCTGCTGCATGTAGCGCCGTGCCGCCGGTTCGGCGCCTTGATACCAGAAGAGTCTGGCCGCCGTCTAATATTGCATATATATATATATATACATATGTGCAACTGTTTAGGCCTTTAGGCTTAGGCTAGGGCCGAAGTGCGCCTGAAACCTCCGATGTGACTGTTTAAGGCTTGCCCTGTGGCCTGATAACCGACGACCCTCCGAGTCTGAGCAGCTCACAAGCTCCTGCAAAAGCAACGCGCCCACTCACTATCAAGCCCTGAAGCGGAGATCTACGGAAGCTCTGGAAGGTTGATGCTTGAGGCTTCCGTTCTTGGGTCTTACATCCTTGGGCCCATGCCCATTAAAGCCTCCGCCAAACTTGCTCTCTCAAAGCGAAAGCTGGGCCACGGGACTGGGCCACATCCAGCTGCCCGGGAGCCTCTTCGCTTAGTTCTTCTTGAGTGCTAGGGCGTGGCCACATGCAAATACAAGATTTGCCCATAAAGCGTTCGAATTTGGATGCTTAGTCAAGTTGGGCGTTTTCACACATCTCAAACAAATACGGGAGTGAGGTCGGATCGCTCGGTGCAAGGGTCGCATGTTATATGCTCTCTCTGACGTCCCGAGACTACTCATCGATCGAGTGGTTAGGATTCTTGCACCCAGGAATGTGCCAATTTTCCCCAGGTCTCCTGACTTCAAGCGCACCCGCAGGACTGAATATGAAGGGGCTATAGGGGTTGAAGCGTTATGATAGAAGCACGCAGCATGCTTGGCCCTGCCATCACTTGTGGTACAGTATGACAGCAACTGGGATGCTGGCGGACTGGGCGAGGACCGCTACACAACCTGAATCCCCAAGTTGAACTTTCGGTGGCTTCTAGACGGCCTATCAGGGTTGGGAGTTACCGCGTGACTCCTGCGTATGACTCCACGCAGATTATGGTACACGTTTCGAGTTCTGAGCTACAGAAGCGAGAGAAGTAGTTGTGCTGCTAAGCTGCTACATACCAGGGCATGCAGAAGGCATCGAGAGTGGGCTGGTAAGATTCGGGGCTTGGCACATCCGCACGACATCGACATGTCTGCAGCTGCAATGACATGTTGGGAGGTGATGAGCTCGACACAACTGCGGCGCGACAGCATATAGATCGTGACAGATGTAAATTTGGGCAGCTCTTCCACAGGGAACCCTTCCTAACTACGTCCACTGTATACACAGTCTGAGGCTGCGTTAAAGATGTTAAAGCGGCACTGTTTGGAGAATGGCACCGGCATGCACAAGCTCCTCTGTTGCTGACATCCGCCCCTCCCCACCCTCCAAGGCACCGAACACATGAACTCAAAAGTCTCCTAACTCAGGGGTCCATCACCCCAAAACGGAAAACACCGCTCTTGTATTCTAAATGCGACACTCAGAATTACTCATTAAGACATGCAAACAGCAGCATAAACCCCGTGGCTACCACGCCCAAGACACTAAACAAACCCTGTAAACAGTCCCTGACTCGCCTAAGCCCTCTCGGAAGACCGACGTGTTCCATCACACAAGCCCCGCCGTCGTACCGCCATGAACCTGACCTCCAAGGAAGCCCCGAACGCCTGAAGTCATCGCAAAGAGCCACGCGCGCCCGCAAGCCTGATCAAGCCTCAGCCGTAGACGCAAGATCGACACAACTACTGAGCCCAAAAGCTCTGAAAGCCTTAGAACATCTTAGAACGGGCCCAGGACGTGCTGAGGCCAACCAGTCTTGACCCTATAAAACCCAGCTCTGTCACCTGCAGCACCCGCCAGAGCAGCTCTATGCAGGGGAGTGGCTCCTGAGCCATCACCGACCTTGAAGCGATCGGGTCTCTGATCGGGTCTCTGACTGGGTGAAAGGTGAAGGTTTGGGACCAAAGGGTATTGGGCTTAATGTGCTGCGAGCTGTTGCCGGAATCATCCAAGCCCCTTTCTGACCCCATCTCATCCCCGTTAGGAAGAAGCCGGGTCTGCAGCAGCTTGGGGACAGTTGGCCAAAGTCCAATGCTTGTTGCTTTTTCCGTCCCCCACAAAGACATTTTACAGCTACATTCGGCCTTATTCCGATAATGAGTTCGGCATTCGCTTGGGCGGTTCTTCCGCCTGGCATTGCTGAAGATGTATAGTTCTAGTTTCTTGATATGTGGCTGAGAAAAAGCTAAACAACACCACAAGGCACCCAGGACAACTCTAGTGAATCCTAGTGAGGAAGAAGCGTTTCGGCGTCCGGCGACAGCCTTGCAGCTCAGTCTTCCTACGAGAATGTGATCGAACCAAAGTCTACCGAATATGTCTGGTTCACAGTTCATAACCCCACCCACGGAAAACTCTACAGTACCGGCCAGTGTTACACCGCTGGCACGTGGCAAGTTACCCTTCTGACCATGTTATAATATTGATCGACTTCCAGCTGAGAGGAGGATGGCTCGGCTAGACGAGCAGCTTTGAGGCAAGTCTCACCTATGCGGACTGCCGATGCGTCCGCTCGTTAAGAAGTGCTGTAAGGCGGAGCCAAATAAACGCCAAGAGCATCAAAGCCAGTCACCGTTCAGCAGGACTGAGGGTTGTTTGATATGGATGATTACGAGCTGCTCCGCAACATGGATTATCCACTGACGAGTCATTGATGCACTCGCTCCCTCAATCGCTCGCTCACTCGATGGCTCTCTCGCTCCCCCACGCACCTGGACTCACCTCGCTCCTCCCTCACTCCCTCCCTCACTCACCCACCTATATACTCACTCACCTACTCACCCACCTATTATTTTGTGTCGGCAATCTGTTCTAAAACCAGGGTGCCTGCCGCCTGCAACTACTCCTGCAAGATCATCGTCACACAAGCAAGCAAAACGCGATGCCTCTAAGCCCTGGGCCTCTCGCAATGGCCGTGAAACCCGACTCCAAGTCCTTAAGCCTATGAGCCCGCACATGAAGGCCTGAACCCCAAATCCACCCAAACCTGCCATCAACTCGGACTCCAAAGCTCCGTCAGCTCCAGGGTATGCGAGGCCGGCTTTTGGGGTTCAGGGCATGCGGTTAGTGCATGGTTTGGGGGCTGCGACGTATAATTCTGAATGATTCCATGGCCCAAGGTGACCGAAGCGGAAAGATGATTAGCTTCCCACGGCGGGGTCGGCACGGCGAGCTAGAAGAAGCTGCACCTGAGTGGTTTCACATTCGGGCTTGGAGCTTGGAAGCCGAGCTGCTTGCTCTGGGCCTTTGTCTGATGTCTTTCTCGCATCACTCTTGAAGGATGTCGTTGGTTGACATAGTTACATATATGTACATGGGACCACGCCGGTCGGCATTTTCAGCAGTGCAGAGCATCTTTGGACTGTGGTATCTTTATCTTCAGCGCAGGTTCCGCGTTTTTCGGAGCTTTTGGTTTGGGGACTCGCCCCGCCGGCCGGCCACAAGGCATAAAGCCCAAGGAACTCAAGGTTGAAAAGCCTGAGTACTGCGTGAAATCGGCCCCCCGACTTTCCGCATATGATCCTTACGGCTCACAGACAACATGAACAGACAGCTGAAGATCCACACCCGAACCCTTTGCCGGCAACCCCAAAAGAAATCAGAAGTCCCCATGCATTGGCGCCAAATCCAGAGCTCAAAGTCCACTGAACTCCGAAGACTTCCGGGACCCCGTGCAGCTTCCGTGTGCCCGCTCAGAGCTGCAATGTGCAGAGGCGACCTCGCAGACAGGGCTTAGCTTTCGGGGAAAATAGGGGGGGGGGTGCTCAGTTACAGTTGGAAGTGAACCAATGCATGTAAATTCAGCTCCCAACTCTACAACTTCCAAAGGATCTCTTAAATCTGTTGCAGCTTAGGCGGGGTCCTACGACCCTTGGGCTCCCATTCCGGGCACATCGGGTCCCCAGAATGAGACAGGGTTTGGGAGTTTCTTGACCTTCATCCGCAGCCAGCCCGGGGATCTGAACACTCTATATACACTACACCTACAGTTGAACCCTCAGCTGCAAACTGAACACCCTGAGGTAAATTGGGCCCTGACCCGGGAGGCTACACCTTGATCCGTACAGTAAGCATCAGGCCAAACCGATGCGCAGGGTTTGTAGCACATTCTTGGGGTTGTTCCAGGCTAGCGTCATGGTCCGTTGAAAGACTCCCACTACAAGCGACTCAGCACAAGTCCACATCAGGGCCCTCAGCCCTGCGTCACCACGAATCCGAACATCATCTGCCTCTGCGCTCCTTTACGGCTGGGTGTCGGAACCGACCGTCTCTGTCCAGCTTGTCGACGAGTGCACCTTGAGCGAAGCTGTGGCAACAGGGAGCAAAGCCACGCATGTAGACTTTGCGTCTTGCATCGGTCCATTTCAGCTCAAGTTTCAAGAAGTTGATGATTTGCCACATCAAGCACAACCATGCCCAATCCGTGAAGTGTAGCAGGCAGCAGTCAACCACAGGCATCATCCGAGAGGTCACGTGATCCCAAGAAAAGAAGACAGTAGTTCTGAATGATGTCAGGCCTTAGGCCCAACAAACGAACCAAAATGGCCCGGATCAAGTTTTGATGTATTTGCTTCGATGCTCGTTCAGAAGAAGACTGAAGGGACAGCCAGGCGGGCAATTGAAAACACCAGAACCACCCAAAGACGCTCGGAACTTGAAAGACTGAGCTGACAAACCTTTCATAAATTATCAACAGCAAGTCTCGCAAGCTACAGCCGCACAAACTGATGCCTTGATCCAAGGTGTAGTCGATGGCTTCCGGCTTGCCTGCAGAGGCCTGAGCCCAGCCACGAACCAGGGATGTTCGCCGAACTGACATGGAACTGGTACTGGTAGATGTACGGAGTGACAGGAGCACTAGCAGCAGCAGCAGCAATCATGTCAGTAGCAATGCCAATAGCAGTATTCCGCAGTCTTGCCTGTCACTCGCTGATAAAGACAATGCAAGGGAAGAAGGTGCTGACGACGATGGTCAGGAAGAGGCAGGTGCTGATGACAACAAAAGCATCAGCATTCGCATACCCCAGAATGTCATCACCACGAACACTATGGTGATAGTGATGTTGGTACTTATCACCATCACTATGAGCATCGTCATGAGAGCCTTGCTGCAGCATTTGAGCTGAAGAGGCTCCGGGGGGTGCGAATTCCCTAAACCAGCCCGAACAGATGTTTAATTCGTCTAACCGCCTCATCACCCCACATCCTCAAGCAAAACCTGCACCCCCTTCTCCTCAGAACTGCAGCTTTTCAGCTTTGGGAGACTTGCAGCAGACGCAGCAGGCATAATCTGAAAGCACCAGACTGAGGCCGCAATAAAGTGCAAATCCTGAAGCTCTAACAACTAGAACCATAGACTCCATCATAAACTCTAAAAGCCCTTAACCCCTTGACTCTCGACTCCCACGATCCCGACCCAAGGCCCTGAGCTTTCGGCAGCCCAGTGAAGCACTGTCTGACCAGTTCCATCCTGATCAGAAGCTCAGGGGCAATACGGAAACCCTGGTGCAAAAAAAATGTTGTAAGATCACTCGCCATAGGAAAGACTAGCTGTAAAGCTCACTCAGAAAAGAGATAGAAGTGTAGCGCGAGTCGTTGTTAACAGCAACAGCAGTCCAAGCAGTTCGACCAGCAGGGACGGTCGTGGCTTCTGCACGCTTGCCGAGGACCCTGCTACCACATTGGCTTCGTACTCTTCCAAGAAGTTCGTCAGCCTCGAGAACCGTGCAACCCAGGCAAGAACGGTCTTGATACAGCACGCAAACCAAACCTGTACAAGGCTGCACACGTGGGGCGAGTTGCAGGTCTTCCTTCACCAACTAGACACAGCTTAAGATGACCTGCCTGATGCCTCGTCCGAGATACTGGGAGGCCGAAGCCTCGAAGCGCCCAAACTCCGAGGCTTTGGCGTAGGCAAATCTCGCACGGCCTCGGTGCGTGAACGGCCAAGGGGTGCGTGCGGCTTGTTCAGGCATTTACCGAGTGCCAGTAGGCACCTGTCACCAAACGGGTGCAGAGTCTTTCCAACGCAAAGATCAGCTTCGAGAAGCTGCACACACTGACCTATGGCTCCTTCCGGAGTCTACCAACATCGGAAGGTTGAGCCCCAAATCCCATATCGCATCCACGGATCTCTTTGGGTGGCCATGCTGCTAAGGCCCTGTCCATGGCGGGCGTTATTCGCTCTTCAGCTCCTCCTGCACCAGTGGGCTAAAGTGGTGTCGACTTCTCGAACTGCTGGCGAGGGGCATTTGCTTTTGCCGGAGTTCTTCGGAAACCTACCACATGGAGCCGGCTAGAGCAGACTACAACCGGCTACGCTGACAACAACGACACCAGTGAAACTTGTTTTCCAATCGCGTCCCTAGCTTCAGAAACGGAGCGAGTTAGCTCGTTCAGTCAGTCTATAGTCCAAATTATGCATCTTTTCGCGGGCGAAAACGAACAAGATCAATCTGGGTACTAGGTCTTGGACCTCCTGCATGTGAGCGAAACTCCCTCCGTGAAGGCGTCATGGCGACAGGTGCTGGTACCGCCTTGTGTATTCTATAAATGCCACAGGATTCAGGATGCTAAGGATGTACACCAGCTCCCGAAAGCCAAACGAATGTAGATGAATCTCAAAGGTGCCGATCCCATTCCCACATCGACTCCTGCAGCGGAGAGCTGTGCCCTCGGCATGTAATTGCAGGCGGAGGGGGTCTGAGTTGAATGCTACGTTTGGTATGGTGAGGCTTCCGCGTTCTGGCAGTTGACATGGTGATGTGCACGATAAGTGTGTCTTTCTGCACACCATAACTAAACCTGAACTCTTAAACCGTAAAAGTAGAAGTCGACCGACTCACCAAACCTGGCTGGGTGCCAAGCGCTAGTGCCAAGGCATAGCAACACCAGGCTGGGAAGAGGCGCCTGCAGAATGTAGAGCCGGTTTTAGGAAGACTATACTGACTATACCTGTCGGTTGTGGGTTTCGGGTAGACTATCTCTACACTCGAATGCCGATGTGCCCGGTCGATCCTTAGCGAGCGTAGCAGATTTTCGATCATGGCAAGCCTTCTATTTTGACCCCCAAGCGTGCAGAATCCCATGGCCTCTAAACCTGCTGAGCCCTGCAATAACCCCAAAGGTGGAACCCTAGATGTGAGATGCCAAGTACAATGATACCCCCTCGTAGCACGTGTAATACAACTTTGCTATAACGTGTGCCCAAGCCCTACTCAAACTAAGGCCCCTGTGAAAGGGCTCTAGACCTGCCGCGCAGTCGGCCCATCGCCATCTGGCCCACTCTTGCGTCAGAGATACACTGTCTCTGTCGAACCCCACGCGTACGCATGCAAACACATAGAAACACACATGCGCACACGCTCATGCGCATATTGTAAACATACATGCATACAGACATTCACACGCACCTTGAATCAGCATACATGTCTGTGTATATATATATATATATGTATATATATATATACATATATATGTATATATACATATATATACACACAGTGTATAGATCGATAGACAGATCGATTGCTTGATTGATTGATTGGTTGATTGATAGGCAGATAGGGGGTAGATAGATCGATATAGAAATATCCGCGTTTTGGCTTGATGCTGCATTCAGCTATGTTCGCTTGTGTGTCGTACTTGCAAATATCTTGTGAGAGATGTTGCGTTTGTGACTCTCATGCCCGCATTCGACAAGCCATGATCATGACTTACCTGCATGTGGACACTTTAGACCAGCTGCCGGCAAACCCATGCACACTACAGCAACAAAGTGACAAGACTTGTAGCACTGTAGCTATTCAGCTAATTACTTTGAATGTTAGCAACTAAGAGCGCCCCTTATCAGCAAGTCTTAAGCTACCGTCCCGTCTTCTGTCACCACAATCCAAACCTTGTATCGGCGACAATCCCATGTTTAACGCAATGCCCATTGTAACAAGAGCAGCAATTAAAGTCATCATGGTGTCTGCATCTCTGCATGATAGCAGTTTCCCGGTAAAGAAAAGGCACGGGCTCACTAGCAATGCTGGTGTATGGCACAATCAACATATCTAATGGCGATCGGCGAACAGTTCAGCAACAGCAGGAACGACGATGCCAGCAAGTAACGGTTGGTTTATTCCGGCAAACAGAGAACGAATCACACGGAAGGGGTTGACTGCATGTGGGGCACTTGGGACCTGCCTCCCTGCATTAGGAGCACGTGGCGTCTTCAAGGCACGATCGAGGGTTTGAGAGAGTTTCAGTATGTTTCAGTCTTTGGACACTTCATAGCTACGGGTTCCACTGCGTTTATCTTCAGCTGCGTGCTCCAACAGCAGCTTCAGCTCCGGAAGATACCAAGTACACCAAACATCACACAGTTGCTGTCGAACACTTGGGAAAACATGCATGAACACCTACATGATAGGTCTTGACATTCGGGTGCCAAGTGGAATCTACTTCCTGTGGACCATACTTCAACAGAAGCCCCTGCGAGGCCAGATCAAACCCAGAAAACGCATCGGAATGGACCCCATGCGCAGACGACGAAGGCTCGACGGTAAGGAGTAGCAAAGAGGACCGGGCCTAGGGTGAATTCCGCCTACGACTGCGCAACAGAGTCTTTACCTGGGTCGGGCTTTGCCGTCATTGCAACCCCGACGGCTCGATGCCCCAATGTTTCACCTGCTTTCCCCAACATGTCCTACGACAGCTCGCAGCACCCCGAAGCAAGCCGAGCTTCCGTGTGCTTTTTGCCCCACTCGTCTGCGCAATCAGCCGAGATGTTCGGCACTGAGGTCGAAATCCCCTTGACCTCCCCACATGAGCAGTTGTTTGAGCAGTCGTCAGTTTCAGGCCCTCTGGCGAAGAACTGCGCATCCGAAACGACGAACAACAAACATCGTCCTTGCAATTACGCAGACGTGTACATATTAAGACTAAGAGCTATAGTCTTAAAATATGCATTTATATGTACATGCACACACATATACATACATACATACATACATACATACATACATACATACATACATACATACATACATACATACATACATACATACATATATTTGGATATATATATATATATATATATATATATATATGCACATTTTCCAACCCTCTCCGACGCCCGTGCTCGGCAGGTCAGGGCACTAGCATATACATCTATTGCACATGTGTACATATATATATATATTATGTATGTATATATATATATATATACATATATATATATATATGTATACGCACACGTGCATCTTTCAAAACAACTTTGTAAACAACAACTCACATGTTGGGTGCTCCGGCCGTGCCCCTTCCGGGCTGCCAACAAACCAACATTCTTGGTTCCTGATTTAGGGCCTATAGGGTAGAAACTCTGGTTAACCCACTGGAGAAATCCTGCATGCAAAGCGTGCGCACTCAGCGCAACTATCGCAACTGAAACATTCGTACTGATTTGATGGCATGGAGAGGGCTCCGGCACGAAGCAATAAATCAAACAAAGAATTATCTTAAATTCAAGCCCTCTTCAACGAGCCATTCCAGCTGGTGGGGGGAGCGGCTCCTTCTACGACTCGAGAGGACGGTATACCGTATGCAGGATCCGTCCTGCCTGGGCACGTGGGCCATGCCACCCACCTCGGGCTAATTATCCACGAAGGTTTTAAGCCACACGGCTCCGCTTTGCGGGTGGCGTGTCTGTGAGGCTGAGGGCTTGAACGGCTTGAACTTCGACTGACCGGTGGCCTGATAAGGCCGCTTTCTGGGCCAAGCGCTTCAACCCAAATCGGTGGATCACCCGGCCTTCCGCGCTGATTCGCGGAGCGTGGAAGAAGGAACCGAATGCAGCCTGCTGTGGAAGTCCACGCTGGCAGAGCCCATCAATGACTCCTCGATCGGTGCTGTCGAACCTTGGTGAAAATGACTTGGAAGAAGTTGCGGAACCTGAAAAAACGAACCTGTAAGGCAGATATTGCTACACACCAAATGCCAAGAATCGTCGCTTGGGTTAACAGCTGCGACATGAAGAAACGCGTGTGGCCAAGCCTGAAGGCGTCGTCGGAGATGTCCTCAAAGCGTTCTAAGATGTTTTCAGCGAGCTTAACCTCGTCCAGGTCGCCATGCTCCAACACCCGAGTCAAACTCTCCAGAGCCCCGTCTTTGTGCAAAGCCTTCAGCAAAAGCTCTCCCTTCGCGAGGTCTGCCAGTCCCTGAAGCTGCGACGATGTCCGGGCATTGGAGCCAGTGAAGGAGCCCAAGGCCTTGAGATGTCTTCGGGCGGTCACTGCTCCAGCAGCCGCGGAATCTGTCTGCCCCAGTTGGGCGAGCAAGCGCCAGATCTCCTCTCCATGCACGCACGAGTAAGACCCTCAGCGGAAACTGTTGTGTGTTCAGGGCTCGTGAAGGGGGCCATAGAGAAACATATGTGCCTACCTCAAGGCTTAAGGGTTCCAAGTTAAGCACCGTTCACTGAGTCCTGGAAGAAAGCTGCATTCCGGCCGGCAAAGAACGGCGAGTCGAAACCGTGGAATGAAAATGTGAGGCTCCATGAATCGAACTTGGTTAGCGCCTGCCTGAGACACTCGAAACATTGGAGATCTCTGCAACTGTAATAAGGGGGCCTGAGGCCACTCGCTTTCCAACAAAATTGACAGCGCCTGAAGACTGTTAAAGTGGCATGGTGCTGCACGACACTCGCAACAGCAACGAACTCAGAAGATGCGACAACAGGTATGAAGGATCGTAGCACGGCGGGATTTGTATGATACCATACCATCCAAGGTACAGGCTGATGTCGCAGGCACCCTGCTTTGCCGCCACCTCCAGCAGCCCTTCCTCTGCCACGAGGGTCTGCAGCGACCTGGCAGCATCCAAACACCTTGGAAGCCAAATGGCACTGAAACATTGGGCCGAAGTACCACGACAAACGTACTTCGGCCGTGCTTGGGTTCAACCACCCTCTGAGCTCTCAGGATGAAACTCTCGTGTCCAGCGCAGCCGAGGTCTTGCAAAAATCATCAAGAAAATGAACGTTAAACAGCCAGGTTCCATAGGAGCTCTAAAATTCGGAAAAGTCGGCCCTGCGCAGTCGGAGCGCCTTCATCAAGACGAGCACTTGCAAAACGCAGAGGCGACATGAGTACATCAGAAATCGGAGTGTCAGCAGTGCAGAGGGCGTTAGCGCGCAAACTAGGCGAGATAAAGCATAATAGTGTAATTAGTAGTCGTCGTCGTAGTCGTAGTCAGAGTCAAAGTCGTAGTGGTAGTCGAGTAGTACTAATAGCCGTGGTGGTGAACGAAGTAGAAGTAGAAGTAGTGGTAGTAGTAGTAGTAGTAGTAGTAGTAATAGTAGTAGTAGTAGTAGTAGTAGTAGTAGTAGTAGTAGTAGTAATAGTAGTAGTAGTAGTAGTAGTAGTAGTAGTAGTAGTAGTAGTAGTAGTAGTAGTAGTAGTAGTAGTAGTAGTAGTAGTAGTAGTAGTGGTAGTGGTAGCGGTAGTGGTAGTGGCAGTGGCAGTGACAGTAGCACTAGCAGTTGTTGTGGTAGTAATAGTAGGACGTGGTAGCAGTAGTAAAAGAAATTTTATCTTATTATTAATAGTAGTATTCTAGTTGGCAGCCTTGAGCGGCAATGCCTGCCTTACGATCTCGAGAGAACTGGTTTCTGATTGACTAATCACCAGGGCACTCCTGGGGTGGCTTGGATGCCATGCTCTGAAGGCAGTCTAAGAGGTTGCACACTTTCCTTAGCTCTCATGGGCAAGTCGCAGAAGCTTGTTCCCCTGCACACGCCCCCGGCACTCTGTCACATATTGAAGCAAGCCTCTTTGCCTCGCCGTCTACCTGCCAGGCACAGGCAAAAGAAAAACAATGTGTGTGCAATGTCGCACCGCAGGGAACTCGTCCGAACTGACTGAATTCAGGGGTCCGGTGGGCAGAGGGAAGTCCGTGTTGCTGGGGTGGAGGGGGCAGGGAGGACCCTAGTTTGAGATGTCCGATGTGGCAACATACTTCTACTTCTCGATTGACTCCCGCCTTTTGAAGCTCTTGTAGGATAGCTTTGGCCTTCTCATGGTGTGGCCGCGTTCCGTTTGTCAGCACCTGTGGCAAAGGCAACATTCTCCGGTGTTTCTTGGAGCGAAGCAAGGACAAAAAGGAACATGCAATAAGGGCAGCACATGTTTAACTCAAAATCGAGGGCGAGAACCCACAGTAAGAACTCAAGAGTGGCGGCCTTCTTCATCGCTACCACGGCACTGCCGTTCGACAGCGCCTTCAAAGTACTGGCATGTCCTGTGCAGGGTCGCACAGTTTTGCCAGGACATACGCGTTGAGATACCTGACATAATGAGACACCTTGGCCGGAGCGATCGCAAGCAGGGGAGGATATTGCAGGTATGAGTTTCCAGGGCATCCCGCTGTTCGTGAAACTCCGCGTGAACTTCAGACTCGCTAGGCTGGAACAAACTGACCCAAAAACCGTAGCGGCTGAAGGATCTTCCCAAGCCCTCCCGGCGTCACGTCCTGTAATTGCCTTTGCATGTAGGCGCGCCAGCGCGGCCTTCTCATGCTCCCCGAAGTCGTGGCCTCTGGCAAATCAATATTTCCCCAAAACCACACGTGAAGTGCCACTGTATGTGGGTTCAACGCTCAACGGCGGAAGCTACCAACAAACATTGATCATTTCTGCGCTGTGCTTGGCCATGAATACTCCGCCCTTCCTGGTGCCTGTCTTCTAGGAGGTTCAAAAAAGTCCTCCCAGCCCCCAACTTTCGTGCTACAACAACAGCCACTACGGCATGTAGTTCCAAAAGCATGACCAACATGTGTTTGCCCCTATCTGCCTGCCGGCAACACCTTCAGCAGCATCAGGTCCGTCTGGTTGTCAGTGGGTACCACCTCCGAGACCTCGCTAGGGAGATTTACCACACCTGCTACATACCGACTTCACAGCGTGCTACAGGTTTATCCGAATACACTCGCGGCAGTCGTCCGGGAATCTTCCCCTCCGTAACACCAGTTTCAGGATTGCTCCTTGTAGCCTGAATCTCTGGACAGCACGCACCCTCATTGGGGCATCCTAGGGCTTTCGTTCAACAAAGCGTTACCAGTGTTCGTTGAAATGGGTGGCGAGGGATGAACATGCCTGAATGCAGAATTTCGGACTTCGGTACAGAGACAGAAATAAACAATTCACATTCAACCGAGGGAATGCCAGCAAACTTGACATCATCCCTCAAGCCCTGCGCAACCCATCGCTACTCCACATAAAGGTCAGATGCCTGGCGTGGTCTGCCCTCTCTGGCAGCAGACAAGCCCAAGGTGGTCGAAGCAGAGATCCTCAAAGGAGTGGCCACCGGCCGAGTCTTCACCTCCAAGCGCTCCAGCTGGATCCTGGAAGAGTCAAGCAAAGGGCAACCGGCGAACCAGGAAGGGGAAGAACATGTGTTTTACATTACTGCATAATGATGGATTCAATATGATGGTGGCAGGTCTGTTGTTGACGTGCACATGGCTTCTGCAAGATCCCAAATGATGACTGGCACCGGAACCTTGACGAACGGGTGACGATTTGAGAGTGGCGTTCACGCCGGTACGGCCAACCTGCAAAGCTCTGCTCATCTGACTGACAGAGCCCGCAGCAAACGAAGAACCAAAACCGCACACCCATCGTGGAACTTCATGTACCTAGTGGAAAAGCATAGAACCCGAAGAAGATAGATGCAAGAAAGACATACTGAAGGCTGGGCCCCCATGTGGCTCCTGCCCAGCAGGTGCTGCTCGATGGCTCTGCGACTCGAGGATGCTTCATGGCCTTCTTGAGAGGTCCATGATGCCAAGACAGCAATGCCCATCGTGCTAGAGTGGCAATATGACGGCGAAACGAACCTAGTCAGATCAAACTGTAGTCTTTGGCCTCCACGCTGGTCCCGGCCGGGGCGTCGCGCAGAGGCGGCGACCAGGCCCCCACCTGGGGAGGCCATCACCTGATGATGTGTCGCTTTCAGGAAGTGCCCACGGGGCATGAGATGAGCAGTGAGGTCCAGGCCCAGTCATTCCAAGCAATTTGTAGTGAATCTCGACCCTCTCATCTAGAGCTGATCTCACTGCCTCGGGGACTGCAGTATACCCATGTATCCCCAATAGATCAGCTACTTTTGCGACGGTGCCTGTTACAGTTCAATGAAGAGCTTTCAAATCCGAGCCCGAACAGGTTAGCCAAAAGCAGTTCTCGTTAATGCTTCCCTTGTTATACTCAGTAAGTGCGTATGCTGCCGATGTACGGATTCTACTCGAGGCTCAATGACTCATCAAATCTGATAACCTTTGCAATGTTCCTAGGTCCAGGCCCGCCTCGCCGAAGTACATTGCCATGGCCTCTGGCGGGGCAGCTCTCTCCAACAGCCAAGTATCACTCGGCCCAAAAGTGTAGTCTAATCTCGCCTGCAGGAGCTGGCCGTCCTGATTTGCAAAGTCGATCGTGACGGGTCTGATCTTTCCGGCCCGCTTGCTGCAGTGACGCAGGAGCACCTTCGCATGGCATGCAGTCACTCAGCGGTGCCCAAAACGCGCTTGCAGTTTAACTCTTCAGCCAGTTGCGCCCTTCGTCCTCCCCCGTCCCGCCGTCCTGCGCCGCGAGGGTGCCGGCTTCTATCTTTCGGAAGACGTACATACAGGTCACGTTTGAATTGTCATAGCCGGTCTCGAACTTGTGGGCGACGAAAAGGATTCTAGCCTCCCGGAATCAGAAATGCCCCAAAGAATCACAAGCCTCGTAGTAGGGCATTGGGGCCTCAGTAAGGGAGTCAGGCTGACCAACAATGAGCCTTTGATGTGTGCAAGCACTTCTTTCGGAGAATGCTGGGTCACTGAGTCAAGAAGGGAGATTCTGAGATATCGTATAAGGACTTCGGGATGTCTTCCGCTTCCCGAGAATGAGACGTCTCAGTGATGCAGCATCTAAGATTTAGATGCATTCCACGCTACACCCGACCTCACCAACACCAGCAAGCATGGGGATCCGCAAACTGCCGGCCATGCCTGTTTAGCTTCTGCTGCCGACTTCAGGTAGTGACCATTGAGGTCTTTCTCTGTCTCCCCATCCACTCTTCCTGAAACGGGACGGCCTCTTCTTCTTTTGTTTCCCAGTTGCTAGTTGGCTCCCCGCCATCTTGTCGGTACACGGCGGTGTAGGGTGTTTCTACGGCTACATGTGCTAAGCCCTGTCCTGAGAACGCTCCCAAGATGTCGTCCCTCGCAATGTCCAAGTGTGGCTGCTCGCGCACCAAGGACCGTGCCAATCTTGTGGCATGGAGAACCTCCTCAGGGACGTGTGGGGTACTGCAGCACAAGCACCCGGACGGTGCGTCGCACATGCTGAAGGATCTTCTCTATGGGAATCCGGAGGTTTAACCAGCATCTGTAAAACAAACTGCGATACAAATTTCTAGATACACTCAGGAAGCCCACAAGGAAATAACCCGAATGTCCGCGCCTCTCGCGAGCTGCAGAGGACTATTCCTTGTGCTCTGTAGCTCAATGACCTAACGCTCCGGCACACGTCTCAAATCAGAGGGAGGCTCAAAGTTGCAAAAACTCATCCATCCCGTGAGGGCACTGGTGCTAGCACTAACCCCCCAAGCAAACACATAAATTAATTAAACGGTAAACAAGTCACCCGCAAGTGGATACGAAGTGCTTCAACACCAGCTCCACACGGGCTTTTCGCACGGCAGTCCCAGATGACGACGCCATGAGAGTTTGCAGGCGCGCCTTCTCCTGCACCCCCCACTGCTACATGTGTGCCCGGTGCGGGAGCAAACGAGAACCTGTCTCATAAAATGCAGTATGTATCCGATCCCATACTCATGAGAAGCTGTGAGCATTCCTCGGGTCTAGGGTACTGCAGGTCATGCAACAACAACGAGCGCACACTTACACCTCACTTCGACTGGAGGATCCTGAAGGACTCAAAGATCGGGCTGCTATCGCAACTTGGAGAAGTTGCAGCTTCCCTTAACCCCCAAGTGCGCTGTACCTAAATCGAAAACGCTCAACCAGCCGTCCTTCTCAGTGATACTTGAGTCATCAAGGCCACTGATGATCGACACGACCTGGGTCACTCGGCCAGGTGAGTCTTCCTGTGGCATCAAGTTAACGTGCTCTGTGTTCTCAATGCCACCAAGGATTCCACACCCTTTCATACAATTCGAAACCGTCGAGATCATCAGGTCACTTCCCTAACCACAGACCTTTTACGGCGGAGCCGAATCTGATGAACAAGGAGGAAAACATGGGCAACACACTTTCGCCCTACACATGCGTTCTAAGATGCTAAATCCCAAACCGAAAAACCCTGAAAGCCCAGAAACCGAAAGCCCTAAACTCCAAGTCCCCGCTCCCCGAGAAAAGAAACGACCATCTCCAACCTCGCCTCGCTGTACTCAGTCCGGGGGTCCATCACAAGGCCATCAGAAACTGCCTGCCACAATGTTCTCGGAACTTCCATAGCATCTAGGGCTCCGGGTTTGTGGCTTTAGTCGGGATTTAGGCGTCTACGGTCGGATTTGGTGTATAAAGTCTAGTTTTGAGCAAACGGTACTGGAAAATGAAATGGACACAAACATGGAGAATCCAGCAAGGGCCGTGGGAAGCAGCATCACCTTATTATCTCCCTCTTCCCACGAAAACATGCAGACTTCTCCGAATGCACAAGCGCCTGCCCCAGATGGTCTCCCTGGTGCTTAGCAGGGAATGGGGGAATTGATCTCCCTATACTCGTCCCTATATATCTATACTCGCCAATACTGCAACAGTCCCGATAACCCATTCCCCCATTCCCTGCTCAGAACCAGGGAGACTTGTACGAAGTCATGCAAAACCGCCTGCCCCAGATGGTAGGAGTGGAAGGGACGGCGGAAGCCGTCACTTCCCAAGGTGCCGAAGCGCTCCAAGGCTTGCGTGTTGGGAGTGCCTCCACAAGAAGCGCTCCGAAGAACCCTGGTACTAGTACAAATATTCTTGACGGTTTCGGCGCTTACACTCGGACAATCCAGGCGAGGCCTTCCTGACGGTTTAGGGTTTTTTGACTGGACGAGTGCAGCAAGAAAGGCGCTGAACTATTTTGACGGTGCCATGCTTGCGAGCAAAGCCTGGAAGCTTTTGACTTCCTGTTCTCGCCTATAGGCTTTGATTGCTACGGTCTTGGGTTTGCAAAGGCGCAGGGTTAGAAGATTCCCTTGTTCTCCATCGCATGCAAGCGTCAAACGGGCAGGCTTGCGCTGCCAAAACAGGGGCGACAAGCCTGTGAGCGCCACGAAATAGGAGGCACCCAGAGCTCGCTCCATGGAGAGGGTGAGCGAGCCTAATTCCTCAGCTACAATCCATCTGTGATATGGGTTCTATACAAGTCGAGATGAGATTGCGGGAGCGGCGTGAAGGCTCCTGTGGTTCTACAATGACTGACGGGGAGTTTTGGCTGGGAGTACCCTTACATCTTGCCGCAAAACGACGAACTATGGATATGACCCACTGGACACATTGCTTGCACACGTCATTGCAGCATGACCAACAGCAAAGCTATGCAATGCAAGTCTTGGTTCCTGCCACCTGGGGCGACAGCCCGCCCTACACCACAACAGCTTCCTACAAGAAGAAACATGCTATCCCCTCGCAAGCCTCCCTCAAGAATCGAAAACGTGTTTGCGTGGGCCCAAGGCTCTTGGTGACTCCGGTGCACTTCATCAGGCATCACCAAGGTTTTTGCCGCCAACTCCATGGACGCCTGGGTGCGGATGAGCTCCAAGGTGTTGAACTTCCTGGCAAGTATTTCGGACAAAGCATTATTCAAATCTAAGGAGGACGGCCATTCCACTGAGACATGCTAGGAAGGCTTGAGTAGAACCAAGTCGCCATGCCCACTTTGTTGGGTGGATGGGGAGTGAATCAAAGCAGCATTCTGGGACATATCTGGGTGAGTCATCGGGTTCCCCTACACTGTACCCTGCACGAGAATCAATAGCACAATGCGATGCTCGGACTGTTGAGGATTTCTGTCAATAAGTGGGGTTGTCAATATTGGAAACCCACCCAGGCGGCGGACTGCATGCCCGAAGTGTGCAAACATGCGAATGCGGATGTATGGGCTATGCCTATGCAGGTGCCCGGATGCAAAGTGTCTGCACATCGCAGGCTCGGTGATGTGAGGCGAGTTGTACATGTATCTTTCTCAACATGAACTCCGCAATACGTCGTGACATGGAACTCCTCCAAACGGGCAATGCTGATGAGGATCCAGCATCCACTGTGTAATATATCTAGTTACTATGGTTGAGTATTCTTCCTGATCAAGACCGCCTATGGTTCAACCGGCTAAGCCCAAGAGTGGCACCACACAAACTTTTCAACCCTCAACATGCCGAGGGTCTGGAAGGTAGTGAACAGAATGGTCGGACAGTCAATCTGCTGCGCTAAACCTTAGCTCTATAGGCACCAGGCCCACTCAAGCGTTAGTGTCAATCAAGTGCAGCATTACTGCGTAAATGCTGCGCCAGAATTCCCACGATCTGGGCGCTCAAGGACATCACTCAGTCTACAGCAAAAATAAAATGACACGATTTTGCCATGGTTGTTGCTGTGGCTAATGGAACACAATCACTACATGTTCCGTTCTATACTGAACTTAGAACCCTAGCAAAAAATATGATTTTAGCTGTTTCTTAGGGATTATAACAACCAAAAATTAGAATCATTTCTAAGTACACCCCTAAGTGCTCATGGATCAGGGAACGTTGTTCGCAGAGAGCCAGCTCCTGCTTCAGCTCTGACGAAGTTTCTGCCTGCCGTCGTTCAGCCGCGCCAACTTTGAACATTGGGTTTAGGGCTTAGGGTGTAGTGAAGTAACGTATGGCTCTTCTTTTCGGCGGCGAAACGAAGCCTGTCACACGTGACTGGGCGAACTTAATTACCTACACCTTCACATCCAACCCTACTGCAATTTTTCCCGTTCGCTAGTAGGGATGAAGCCAGAATCCCTAGAGGCACTTGGTATCCTGGAAGTCTCACATGTCCAATCGTTTGCCAGTCTACTGATAAAGACTGCAGGCAAAGTCGGGGCAATCCGAAGCCTGAACTCACCCTGGGAGTTCGGGTTGGGATCTGGATTCAAGCACGCACATCATGTATGAAGGTTTCGGGGGATTGCCAACAGCATGAATGCCTTTGTTATCATGTGTGTTATATGAGCCCGCTCCGAGTCCGGAATCGACACGTTCTACATCATACCGTAACATTCGCAGTGAAAATCTTCTAAACGCGGAGAAGCAACAACAACAACAACAACAACAACAACAACAACAACAACAACAACAACAACAACAACAACAACAACAACAACAACAACAACAACAACAACAACAACAACAACAACAACAACAACAACAACAACAACAACAACAACACAACAACAACAACAACAACAACAACAACAACAACAACCAACAACAACAACAACAACAACAACAACAACAACAACAACAACAACAACAACAACAACAACAACAACAACAACAACAACAACAACAACAACAACAACAACAACAACAACAACCCCAAAGCCTTGAACCACCCCTCCCCCGCCCCCAAGGCCTGCCTGCACGATGCGTACGGAGTCCTCCAGGCGCCAAGGGTTGCCGGCCTTTCAGGGCTCCGACAGCGACCAAGTGGCAGAAATGGGCGGAAAATACGGGAAGGTAGCTGCACTGCTCCTCGCCGCATAAACAAGCTGTCAACCACTAGTCATCTTGCGGCTCGACGTATTCATGCATGGGGAGTGAGTGATGAGGGGGATGGTAGTATCAAGATGTTCTCAGCCTGCTTGACGTTCTCCAAGAAGCTGAGCACGGCCTCCTTGTGTTGTTCGTGAGTGCACTAGAGGGCTTTCTCTTACAAGGGGGTCCCTGCAGAGAAGGCCCCACAGACACCTCAACCCCGTTCGAAAATTGCATCAGATGAAAGCATTCCGCTTGTTACTTCGCCGCTTAACGTTTGTCTCGACAATGTGTGGATGAGTCAAGAACGATGAATCAACTCGCGGCTTCGGGCTTGAAGGCTATCTATGGGTTGGGCTCGGTTTATCACCAGAATCTAATTACGATGGTTCGTCTTCGAATGTCGAGTGCTTCCGGCGACGCCGGCTTTCTTCCATGAGCTGATGGTTGACCTGTGGGCGCAACGCAACCAGCCCTGAAGCCTCCAGACGCAACCCGCATCCCCGAACCCGGCCTCCCCTCCCACCCCATCGACTTATGCAGGGTTGACGGCAACAGATTTTGGAGAGAGCGGCATAGCTCTGAGTGTCCAGGAATTCCCGGTCATTGATGATGACCACCAATGAAAAGCCCAGCTCTTTGCCTTGCAAATGGGATCCAGAAACCTAGATTCGTCCTGCCATCGTTACCACGTGTAACGCTGCGCAGAATGGCACTGAGGCTTGCTGCCCAACTAGCACTGTTCACCTGTGGGACATGCAAACTCCGAAGCAGTCACAGCGCGACTCATAGACGGGGTCACTGCAAACCGGACTAGGCAAAGGAAGGGAACCGTTGGTACAACGGGGACTGCTAGTTGAGAGTTATTATAAGGATTACAGTATGCCAAACGCGCACACACACACACACATGTACACATGTAGCACAGATAAGGCCAGCTATCAATCAGGAACCACCACGAAAGGGGCCAGCGTGTAAAGCTCATACGACTCAATTAGGACCGGACGCCCAGTCGCTAAGTCCCGTGATGGCTGACTCACAGCCATGGCCAAGTCACGAAGCTTCATCAGCCAGAAAGCAAGCGCTGCTTGCACAAAGGTCTTGCCAGTCCGTGGGGCATAGTAGTGCAGGAAGCGCTTCTGCTTCCCTGCTTCCAGGGCCCGCAATACTTTGGCAACGCCCTCCACCTGCAAGGCAACAGATTCTGCTGCGTGGCTTCTAGGGGTTGGTTGCTGAATGAAAGTGGCTCAATCTCCTTGGCAGGGCACTTTCCCAAACAACAGTGTAACGACTGCCATGATCCGCGGTCGACCTCTCATTGTGGCTGCTACGGATGACATGGTCTCTTACTGGCTCTTCAAAAGCCTAGGCCGGTCAGCCACTCCACGTCAACCGCCGGGCAAGTCTCGCCGATCCCCGCCGAGGTTTAGACAAACATGAAGAGAACTTGCTGGCGGTGTAAGCTGCAGTTTCCCCACAGGGACCCATGTACGCGCACACGTGCATGCATTAAACCAGTTCTGTGAGGCTGACGAAAAGCATACTTGTTTGCTGCAGTGTTCACAACTGTCCTGCATGTGTGTAGGCATCGGACCAGCTGCGGCCTGCCACCGCCAAGTCCGAGTTGAAAGACTCGTTTGATCCTGGAGCTTGGCATTTAACAAAAATTCTTCCAACAAAAACCCAATCACCGGCCCCAGCCCGTCTCACACAAAAATCACTTCATCGCGGCAACAAGCGATCTGGAGATTGTTCTGCATTGCTGCAGATGAACTGCGAATGTCGAGGGGTCACAGGGTTCAATCATGTCACCGTACCTGACGATCCGCGCTATCCTGTTCTGACACTATTTGCGTGATCCTGGATGTTGTCGCCCAGGACGCATCGCGGGCCATGACAGGCAGGCGGATGTTTCACTAACGCTGAGGTCGTGAACATCAATAACTTACCCCGACTGCACAATGGATGAAGCATTCAGAGTACCGTGGGCATTTTTCCTCATACCACAACAAGAATCTGTAATCCATCTTTTCTTGTACCGTCGTCGGTTTTTCTCCATAGACGCGCATTTGATCATTGAAGAGGGCTTCGGTCAACACACTGGGAACTCAGGGGCACACGCATTGTCTTTCGCGAGTTCAGGAACAAGGCTGCAAGAGGTTGCCTTTGGCTTGGATTCGCACCTGGCCTCTAATTCAATGTGTTTAGTGGGGGGAAATGATCACCCCACCGTCCGCAAGTTTGACAACACCAACAAGCGAATGAATACACTGTGAAATCAACACAACATCCGAAGCGTGAACACCTAACACCATGTCCGATTCCAAATCCGAAGCTGGAACACCCACATCAGGATGGTACATAACAAAGACCAATTGCTACGAAAGTTTAACGAGAGTCTCGAAGCAAGAGTGTCTGATCAGGCTGTGCCTGCAACTTTGTACAACTGCACATGTGCATCTGTCAAACTTCAATGATACCGAACAGGAGCTCTGTTCGCCGCAGACTGTGAGCCTCCTTCCTAGTGGCTAAAGCTGTCACGCCGGTATTTGACACATACACATACACATGAAGCACCCAAGGGCGGCAAGAAGCTGGGAGTGGGTAGGTTTCATGACTGAGTTGGGGGATTTGGGTTCAACACTCCCCTGTCTGCCTCCCTGAAGGGTGCTTCTCTACAGAATCATTTTCTACAAGCTTTCGTCAAAGGACCGCAGTGCCTTTGAGTGACAGCTTTCGTCACGACAGCTCTCCCAAAACCTGCAAACGTTACACCCTTGTTGTGCCTATAAACGTCCGCCGTCTGTATGCTATTGAAAAGACTCGATTTTGAAACACCTGCGCCCTCGATCCTCCGATCGCTGAATTGACGAGAGGACTGGAAAATCAGACGCCGAACTGGCAGCTGCCTTCTGTAGACCTCGGTGCCAGGACAAGATCACGCTTCATGCTTCAGCCGATGGCAAGGCATGACTGTAGATTGTGCCCACGAATCTGCATCGGGCAGTTTCACTGTTTGCAAAGAAGGTTGGGCATCAGCCATTTACGCATGTCTGCCCCAGCGTGTGCGTGTGAGGCTATGCTTGCAAACATCTCTCTCTCTCTCTCTCTCTCTCTCTCTCGCCGCCCAACTTCTGAGGATGTGTGAAAAGGTTTGGTTGTTTCCACCGAAATTTGACACCTATGACTACTTTCGACATGTGATTTCAGGGGCCTTCAACCATGCTTCAGGATCTTGCAGGTTACGGGACTCATACGCTACATAATTGCAGGATCCACGTGGCTGGCATTACGGTAGTTCTACAGCAGTCCCTTTGTGAGGCTTTTCGACTTGAGTGGAACCAGAATTAACACCCTGCACAAACTGGAGGAATCATCCTCATGTAACTGCCGTGCTGCCTGTGCTACAGTTGCTTTGCGGGAGAGATTAGACCTGTTATGACATGGGTCTGAAGAACAGCAAACGCGCAAGTCACGACCTTTCACTATTAAAGAGATTCGCTCCGACATGTCATGGAATCCTCTGCTATTGCTTGGTGGTCTTGTCCTCCTACTTCACGATCACAGGTCTACTGAAAAAACATGCTGCACCATGAAACATGGCAACAACTGGTAGTTCGCAACGCTTGCGTTTGGCTCCTGAGGCTCAGCAGTGAGACCTGCGGGACCGTCGGTGTGGGTGGGGGTTAGGCGGAGGTAGCTGACCTACAAAGAATTACAAAGCAAGTCAAGGTCAACAATTAGAAACATTCTGTCATTCTGGCCCCCGGCATGTCCCCCGCTCTACGTGCTCTGCTCACGCTCTCGTGAAGGTGAATCGGCAGAATTCGCCGTCGTAGGTGGCTTTTGTCGGGTCATTTTGGGGCGACGGGCTTCGTGGCCGCCTTGTCCCCCGTCTCACTGGTCCGCCAGCTGGATCTTCGCGCGTGAACTGGTCGCTGTTCGCAGGGTGTGGTGCCTGTCTGCTGTCCAACCTGCAGAAGTTGGCCCGGACAGCCCACCGATGTTTTCGCGGATGCATCTCGATGTCCCCCGAACCCGTTGCATCGCGGCTTCTGGTCCCTCGCTCTCTCTTCTTCAGCACAGACAGAGGAGTCACGCAGTCGCGAGCCCCCCGCGCGGATTCGCGCTCTGGGGAATTACCGGTGCAAGAGAATGACCTCTGCTCGCTACGGCCGAAGTCACCGGAACTCCTCCCAAAACAACCTAACCTAGCCCCCAACGCGCCTCGAAGGCTAAGCTGTCTCTCTCTCTCTCTCTCTCTCTCTCTCTCTCTCTCTCTCTCTCTCTCACTCTCCCGGTCATGGGGAACATGCGACGTTCCCCGAGCCATTGGCCCACGCGCGTTCTGCAGGAATTGTTGGAGAACGTCAGGCGGTACATCGAAAGAGCTAGAGCTCTCTCTCTCTCTCTCTCTCTCTCTCTCTCTCTCTCTCTCTGGGGCCTGTGCGTACGTACGTTTTGACATATACATACATGCATGCATAGATATTAGTATGTATTTCTACATATACATATACATACACACACATACATACATTTTTCTCAACGCATAAATACATACATACATGCATACATGCATACGTACATACACATATATACATACATGCATATACAAATACATTTTGGTCATTCACACATATATATATATATATATGTGTGTGTGTGTCTATGGGTGCTACCCTCGCAGGAAGCGAAGTGGAGAATCTTGGAAGCGTGAGGCTCCAACACCCTGGTCCTGGTGATTCCAACCAGCCCGTCTTCAATGTCAAGCCTGCCCGAACTCAATTCCTTACAACAGCCAAGGGGCGCCACTTCTACGCCGTGCAAGCTATCCTGACCATCGCAGAATTTGAGATTCGGGCTTGTGGCGCCATTATGGGCTTGCTTGACATGTTGGACTAACTCTACAGTACACCCGCTCCGTTCGTCGCTCGCTGGCTCACTGACTTCAACCACTCATGCAAGACATGTTGCCCTTGCGCCCCGTCAAGACACAAACGGTAGTAGACACCATGCTGTGGAGATTGAGCTGGGCACTCTGCAAAAACCAGGCCAAATACAAATTGCAAGCAGTGCCGCAAGGCCCGTCGCGAGACAAAGCTCACTCATTCTCCGTCACTCTCGGGCTGCGACGATTCGCGAAGGTCTGAAAAGATAGATCGGATGTCGCGGACCTTAAACAGAACGCGTTCAGATATAGGGCCTATAGGGCATATAGAGTCTACAGATTGTAGGATGAGCATGCGACTTGCAGCTTAAGGCATTAGAGGCCGGCTTCAGCGGGCTTGGCCCGACAACGATGCTAGAAGATGAAGGTCTGGGGACACTGAACCACGGGAGACCCAGACAGCATCATCTTCATGGGGAGGATAATGGACACAATTGATAAGTTGCTGGCCCCGACATTACGTGGCTGGTAGCTACACCGGTGTCGGGAAAGGGATTCGAGTTTTTGGCAACGCTCCAGTCCATTATAACCCGCCAAGCACTGTTCGGGGTTGGCGCCTAACATCTTCCGCAGAAGGGCGCCTTCCGCAAGAAACTTGCACCCCACACCCTGAAATCCAAGTCCGATTCGGGGACCCCTAGACAGCAGCGGTTCGCATCTCGCAAGCCCCGGGCTGGAAGCGTGTCGCTTCCTTGGCAAGGCTCGCTGCTACGCCTTTGGATCCTGGGTTTGGGCGGCCCGTGATGTAGCTGCTGAACAGGCATTGCAAAGGGAGACAATACCATTCCCACATTTCCACCCTGCGGGCAAGCCGCAAGCCCCGAGGTAATTAATACTAATTATATTAATGAGTTGTTGCATGAGGCTTCCTAAACTCTGAACCCTGAAGCCCTGGCCCAGCCGAGACCCCGTGTAGTGCTCGCGAAGGATCTCGTGGGGTTACGTGCATAATTCTTTTAATACATGTACATATACAGTATGTATGTGGGTCATTTTTGGCTTGCAAGTTCTTCCAGACATGCCGACGAGACAAAACTGCGAATCACAGAGTGAATGCAGAAAACCATCTGTCAAACATAACGAAGACGCTGCAAAGTCTCGCTGCAAAAATTCTACTGTATATCTCCTGTGGGAGAACTCCGGAAGAGAGCCGAAAACCTTCCAAACTCAAAGTAAAGCTCAGTTTCTGCACGCATACACACTTGGACGGCCAGGAAAGGCTGGCTTTACAAACTTAGTATTATAGAACTCAAGCACATCCTGCCAGAACAAAGGCGAGAGACGCGTCCGGCAAGGTCCGACACACGGAAGCATCTGAGAGGTCGACCACGGACGACATTAACCGGGAGGTACCTTTGCATGCGGCGGAGGTGAGTTGTTGCTCCAATCAAGCTCGCATTTTCCGTTTTGTTACGGCTCGGAAACCACACGGAGGCAAAGCATGGCAAAGAGCCGCCGCGGATCGAAGATGTCGCCGTTAAAAGCCGAACCGTCTGCATTCTAATTTTAAAATCAAGCACAGTAGCTCCGGCTCTTGTGGGCTTGTCTGATTCAACTGGCTACCCTGCGGATGCCATGACCCACTCGCAGTGGCGGAAACCGATGGTCACTAGCGCTGCAGTTTTGCCCATCATCCGTCAGCAAATTAACTGATGTGAGGAAGAGCATTGCATGTAATCACCAAACACCGCGGAAGCGCGAGTGTGCCTAGGGCCTTCTGTTTGCAAGCATCTTAGAGTATCACAGCGAAGAACCTGTGCAGAATTGCCAAATTCAACACAGGATGACCAACGGCAAGTGAGACCTGAAAATATTTCCCACGGTTTCGATTGATGTCACCTCAGAATCTGGCAAAGACCGCGGTAGCCGGCTTTCCGGATGGCATTGTCCAAAGCCGCCTTCGGTCTTATCTCAGCACAACTTTGAGCTCTGCTTTTTAAAGGCAACAGTTGCAGATTGCCGATCACGCCTAATCCACGTGTGACCTTCACTACAAATGCCTCAGCCATGGGGTCCATACATGGCGATGCCGCGCGCAATGACATGGAAAAGTGATTTGTGCGATATAGGAGGATCGACTGGATCATGAAATGTTTGGCGTTCATATGGCCAACTCCGGGATTTTCTTTCTTGAGCTGTCTTTGACCCGGACAGTTCTACATGCCATGACTAACTCTGCCTCCTGGGTCATCCCCTCTTCCAGAATCACTTCTGGAAGCAATGTAGCCTGGGCAGCAAAATCAGGGTTATGACCTATAAGGCTATAAGGCCCCAAAACACGGAAGCTGCAGGGAGAAGGGGCAGGATCCAACCAGCCACACTCCAAAGACTGATTACGACTACTGCTGCTTGCTCTAAGACTCTAAGCGCTCGGCAGTGTATCTGCAAGTACTGCAGGGGCAAAGGATGCACAAGGACGCCTTGGGATTGAAGCTTCGGGTTGGGAACCAAAGGGATCTGCCAGGGCGAGGGCGTTTGGGGAACCAGCCCTCCCGCCAGGGGAAGTTTCTCTATCACGGGTATCCAGGTCTACAGGGCGGCTTAGGCTTTCCACAGAGCGCTGCGAGGGAAGCAGCTGCCGGCGAGTAACAGCTGCAGACGTAGTAACGTAGCTGGTCTACCCTTCTTTTTCCACATGATGAAGACTAAATGGACCCTCAAAGCACTTCACCTGCATGAGCACTTGCGGCCAAAACCCGAGAAGAATAGCAAGCAACTTATGTCAAAAAAGGTTAAGTTCGCGGAGCTTAATAGGATCTTGACGCCAAAGGAACAGGTTCGAACACCTCGTTGAGTTTCGGGGTCTGGGTCAGGGGCTAACGATCAGGACAGGTGTCTAGGTCCAACGGCAGTGCGATCATAAAGAATCTGAGTATTGACTCTTCTAAGGATCCTGTAATGGATGTGCTTTTCAACCAGAATCTTAGGGCACAGGCCGTGAACGAAACAGTGACCTTGGCGAGCTTTCCACACACACACACACACACACTCACTTTGATGCGTGCTTGCTTGCTTGCTTGGGGTGTGGGGGCAGCAACTTCCACCCCAACGCCTACACCCTAGGTTTCACTTCTCTGTCTCTCTCTCTCTCTCTCTCGCCCCCCCTCTCTCTCTCTCTCTCGCGGATCTCCTGCATCAGCTGTCTCCCTCGTTGGCTGGCCGTACTTCGACTATAGGTTCGTCTCCGGGACTCCTTCAGCGGCTGCTAGTGAATCTGAGCGGTGTGCAAGGTGTCCCCGTCAAGCAATACTTGTAGCAGGAGCTCCTTGCGGCCACGAAAGCGGCCGGATGGCGTCACCGAGCCGAAGGGGATCCACCCTAGTTCTCCGCAACGAGGTGACACACGCTCGCCGGAGGCATGCAGCACCAGCATGGCTGCAGGGTCTCTCGTCAACTTTCTGAGCCGAAGGCACTGCAGCTTCTGCCACTTCTCTCTCTCTCGCTCTCTCTCTCTCTCTCTCTCTCTCTCTCTCTCTCTCTCTCTCTCTCTCTCTCTCTCTCTCTCTTCTTCCGCACAGCCACGAGGGACAGTCTCTCTCTCGCTCTCTCTGTGTCTCTGTCTCTGTCTCTGTCTCTGTCTCGGTCTCTCTCTCTCTCTCTCTCTCTCTCGCCCTCTCTCTGTTTCTCATGCGTTTTGTGATCGTGGCCACGTAGTAGCCCCCTCTGCACAACCACATGAAGTCCATCTTCGTTACCTCTCAGCACAACGGGATCTCCAAACGGAATGACGAACCCCAAAGCGTCAACCAAGCGCCATGCGCCGTGAACGCCAACTTTCCAGTCAGTCGGGTCCTGAAAACGGCAAGGTTCTCATAGGGCTTCCAACTTTCACAGCGGGCCAAGTTTCGGGGGTTGTCAAGACTTTGAATTTTCGGCTCCAGCACACTGCTCTGAGGGGATTCAAAGCTTTGAGTATTGAATTCAGCTTGACAGCGACACGCAACCTGAAGAGCCGAAGCAACACTATCAGACATAGTCAAATTCAAAACTGATGAGAGCGGAGAGGCTGTGGATGTCAGTGGTGGCTGTGACGTATATTGGGTGGTGGGGTCGGCGGTGATGCTGCAAATCAATACTTACAACAACACCAACAACCACTACGATTGGATGACGATGATGGTCACAGCGACGCATTTGACGAATGCGACACAACATCCGCTGGCATTAACATCTCAAGATCCCTTGTATCCCTGATTCATGGAGGTTCTAGAAGGATTGACGCGTCCCTGAACTTATGTCATGCTGAGGGTTCGGGTGTAGTTTAGCCATTGTGAAGCTATGCAACGCACTTACACGGCAAACTTGCTGTCTGCACCTGGGTCTTCAGAATGTTAGGAGGGCTTACGAGCTCGAACCTACAAGGCGGCGGGTCAGGGTCTGAACCTGAACCCCGCATGAAACCCCACCGTACACTGAAGGCTTAGCCAGGTCTGGTCAAGAATTCCAGTGCTCACCGGTGTTCGGTTGGGGCAACCCTGTCCTGGCAAGGCTCGAAGGTGTGTAAGATGGACCTTATTTGGATCTCAAGGCGATGTATGCTGTCGTTAAGTTATGGGCATTGGCGTGGCTCGGCTCAGGAACAACATATTAGTCAGTTCTGATTTGGATTAACAACAACTTCGGCCTTGGTGGCAAACGCTCAGCGCGAGTACGATTGCGAAGCTAAGTTTATGAAAACAGGAAGTCCCAAACCGAACCCAAATCACGCTCGCGTCCAGTAGCCCCTGCAATCGAAGTACCACAAGTTGATACCCTGGACTGCCACTCCCGAGGTCCGGACACACGGCATGTAAGTGATTTCACCTGCTACTAGTAGTAGAGGCGCCGGATCAAGGTGACCCGGGTTTATAGGATTCGGGCTGAGGCCGACTCCAGGGTTTAGGCCTATCGGGACAAAACTGACACGCATCTACATACACGGAAAGAATCAGAAGCTGAGATTGTGGGACCCTCTACTTCTTTCTCGCACCCATCTACAGTATGCGCTTTCCCAGCTGCCATGTTTCAACACATGTACTCAGCCTTTAACCTCGAGCCTCAAGCTGATCAAAATCCCAACAAGCTACACATGGGCCCGTGCCGGACCTCCTTGAGAGAGATCGGAGGAAAACGTCGGTCGCGGAAGGCCTCACAGCCGGGAGGGCGGGCCTCAAAAAGTTCGTGATCCCAGGATCTCGCAGATAGCACTTCGCTTGTTGCAGCAAGGTGAGTTATGGTTTGGCCTGGGTTCGGATCTGATGTTCAGCTGTATCTGCAGCGACGGATAGCCCTGTCGACTCGGTCTTCGAGGTAAGCGCTTGTATCGAGTGTGGGTATGGATACTACGTATAAGATTAGGATCCGGAATCTCTATGCCAGGAATCAGCCAAGAAGCTCCTGGTCCCAAGAATGTCAACAGCTTCTGAATACCGAGAAGCCCCGGTAAGCCGAGGCCGCTGGCGCTGGAGAGAGCACAGTCGGAGAGGCCGCCTCAGTCGTGGGATTCGGGACCGGGGTTACATGACAGTTCATTTTAAATGCAGATAGACAGCTAGATAAACAGGCCGGTCTCCAACTTCAACGAACTTTGGTCAAGTAGTCAAGAGATTGTCCGCGAGGGCTAGATAGATAGCCAGCTAGGTAGGTAGATAGGCAGGTGGTTTCCAGATCACTTGAGAAAGGAGAGATTGTAATGCAGACAGGAAACATACACAGGGCACTACAAGGGAGGTCAAACACAAACAGACGGACATACAGTACATACATAGACATAAAGAGAGACAGAGAGAGAGAGAGAGAGAGAGAGAGAGAGAGAGAGAGAGAGAGGTGCTCCATCTCCAATGCCTGCCCTGCCTGCCTGTGTGTGTGTGTGTGTGCGCGCATGCGCGTGTGTGTTTGCTTAGTTAGCAGGGGCTCGTGCATCTGGCATCGCAGGAAACACCTTTACCTTTGAAGCATACATACTACAACTGCGAACGTGAATATACAGTGCCTACCAATAACTGCCGTGGCTGCCGTCTGTCGTGATTGGGGCCCCAAGCCTCGTATTGCAAAGTCTATGCTCCGAAACCCTATGTTTGCCCCAAACTCCAAAGCAGGCTGGGGTTCAGAATTCCGATTTCCTTCAAGGCTTGAATGCAAGGCCGTGGTGCAGTAAGCTGTCATCTTTTAAGCGACGAGCAAACACGAAGTCGGGTGAAGCGATTGCGAGGCCCTGTCTTCTGACTCTGAGGAGGTGAGACAAAAGCCTCAGATGTGGTGACAGTAGGATTTCAACCACTCGGTCTTTGGATACATGCGCTTCTTCATTTCGTATATATCTTTCCTCACGTGGTAGCAAGTCCAGCCAGCACCGCAAAAGCGGCAATTGGCATCCTCATCGCATTTTGTCTTCTGAGATTCTGGTGTGTCTATCTCGCCGCGGCAGTCCGCGAGTTCCCCCTCGACATGCTCACGGTGCTCAGCCACCTCGCCGACGTTCCCACGCTTCTCTCCGACCGCGTCGCGCATTCCTGAAACAGGAAGTAGCAGAAGAAGCATGATGATGGGCGTCGCTCGAACCATGTCGAGAGAGCCGAGGAAATAAAAGGAATTATCGAGCAACGGGCAACTCGAGCCTCAACTTGCTACAAGGTCCCGACTTGCGCCACAGCCGAAACTCATTGGGATGGCTTCGAGTTCTTGGGAATGAAGGCTTTTGGCTTTTCAGGTTGCGCTGCTCAGCTTTTCGGTCGTGCCGGTAGTCATCCAGATGTTATGGAACGGGAGCCAAGCACTAAAGCTACAAGGGTATACCTCAATCCCAACGCGCCAGTGCTGAAACGCTTCCCTGGGGTTTTTAGGTCTTGGGCGCTCCCAGAAGGGTTTCCAAAGTGACTTTTGAAGCCGAGATGTCTCTGTGAAAATCGCCATCGCGAGGCCCCGAACAGGAATTTCGACTGTCGGGCTGAACAGCTCAAACTTGGATCATGTAGGGGACCCGAAACCCCTCCCGTGAACCAGCAACGGGTTTCCGTGCGCTCCAATTCAACCGGCTGCAGAGAGCCGATGCCTGGTGACTGCAGGCTGTTTGCTTGGGCTGACCGTCAATAGATGTAGGGGTTATTGTCAGTTATGCCGTCCGAGTCTCGAAGAAGAACCTGAAAAATGCGGTGGTATCCTCTGCAATTTTTTCTGCTATATACATGCTGCCATGCCGTGAAGGCTGGCATAATTGAAGCTCGAAGGCTCTAGAAGTCTCAACACACAGCTAGTCACAGCCACATCTACCAAAGAGGAAGAAGGCTTTGGCTCCGGGCCTACACTGCGCAAGCGTTCTGAGTCGAGGGGAATGTGAGTCGCACGTCAAGTCCTATTGACCTATTGTGCGACGCTTTGCGGTATCATGTTTCAATCTAGGTCTTCGCCACGGAGCCAGCCACACACGTATGGAACTGCCAGCCTGCAAACAATAACAAACAAACACCCATCCCTGTATTGATGTAGGTATGCGAGTTTGTATGTTAGTACACGAGCAAACCAGTAGCTAAGCAAACATGTATGTACATATTGCGGCCCTGTGTATGTTTTTACGCAGTGTGTATGCAGGTACGTATGTCTGCATACATACATGCATAAATAAATTAAAAAATACATATATATATATATAGACAGATAGATAGATAGATAACGTATAGACGTATAAATACATGCACACGTACATACATGCATACATACACACATACAGATACATGTAAACTTACTTACATATATGACACATACACCATGCAACACAACAAATCTTCATATTGAAGGGTCGGGGTCCACGCCAGCCAATCTTTTCGCAACGACGAGGCTCCGACAGCCACGAAGCCCTGCCGGGTTGTGCCAGCTGACAAAGAGTCCGGGGACCTGTCGTCAACTTTCGGCGCAGTCTCTCCCAACTACGACCCACACAACATGGAAGAAGGGTGCATATTATAGGGGAGTTACTGCATGCAGGAAACTAGTCGGGATTCGAACGTCCCTTTCTTGCATTAATGCAGGTACAGTACTGGATTTTGCGTCGTTTGCGCTTGGTGACCGGTGAAAGGACCAGAACATGACCTCTGACATTCAACTGACACTAAAGTCCCGCAGCGGGACGTAGAGAATCAACGTAGCAGGAACTGCAGCTGCGGACATCACGAAGAGAGTAATCCGACATTCCGATGCCTGAAGGTTATATAAGCCAAGATGCCTAGAGCTTGGTTCACCGAGCCACCACCCTAAGAAACGCGAAACCCCAATCCCGGAACCCAAGAAAAAAGTCTGCAACTCCCACCCGCCAAAATGTCAGCGGGCTAGGGTTTAGAGTACAACCGGGACCGTAAAGGCCGAGAGAACTCAAGACTCGAAGAAGCGTATCCAAAAGCATCTTGTCCTGTGAAACCTTCCCAGACTTCTGAACCTCTGCTGCAGTTATCACTGGTCTCTTTGGTTCCTAGACTCTGTAGGGCCTCAAAGTATGCTTTATGAACCCTCCTGATTTTCAAAATCACAGGCAGGCTATTACCACCACATTAGCAGCTGTGCCTCCCGGACAGGAGACTCATCGGTTTGACCTCGCTGTAAAGACTTCGATCTCTTTGCGAATCTTCGGTTTCGGCACGTTCTCTGGTTCGGATTGCTTTTCCTCTCGGACTCTCCACGAGAGGCTGTAAGGCTACAGGAAGATAACACGGCTTTAAAGGCAGTAAAGTCCAAGTATAAGAGTTTTCTATTCGGACTGTGAGATAGTGGACTCTGCAGCTCAATCAGATTATGGTGCTTGGGGCGTTGCCTCCCAGCGGCGGTTACAAAGTGCAAGCCCTCCGCAGAAGTGAAGACTTGACTCAGAGCCTAGGACTTCAGGGCTTGATAAAGGGCTATGACAGCTATGGGTTCTGCGACCACCAGTCCTTCCCTGTACCGGTTCCGCCAGGCGACTTTTTTTAGCACTCGCGCTCGAATACTTCAGGCCGTCAGGCGAGGTTATAGGGACAACCACTTGGCAACTAGATACAACTACGGCTCAGCTTGAGCACAACTGTCATTGCGGCAGCCCGAACCAGATGTCGGCTCAGCCCAACCACTTTCACGAGGCAGAAAAGCCAAAGCAAATCATGACACTACGATCCTTCTTTCTGGCAATCATACATCATGGCGAGATGAACCGGTTTGATCGTTGAGGGAACTTGCGCTTTTGACCTATTAGATACTCAACCGACTTCGACGCTGCTGTTGATACAGAACTGAGAACCTTTCAAACCAATGTCTCCGCCCTGTCTCAACTCAAGTACGCTTCGCTCAGCGCCGAGGCGGCTGCTTTGTCGAGGAGGTAGGTCGCCGTAGAACGCAAAGCTTGAGCAGGGAAGGCTCGCGGCCCTTCCATGCCTTCGATCGCCTTCTTCATAGCTTCCGATTTGCCCAGGGGGTACTTCTCCGAAACTCCGGCGGAGGCCACAAGGACCTTCTTGGAAGACATCATCGCTGTTGGCGAGAGTGTGATGCTGGGCGGAGACTTCATGTCCACAGCCAAGACCCAGCGGCCTGAGACATCCGCAATCTCTTCTCGGCCAGGGTATAGTGACCCAAAGTGCCCATCATCTCCCACGCCGATGAGGCAAAGATCGAAGACGGGAAGGCCTGAGGCGCTTCGCGGGAGCATCGACTCCGGTAACGCCCGGAGCTCGGCTTCATAGCGCTCTGCTTCCGCCTTGCCATCTCCAGAGCCACCCATGGTGATGACGCGCACGCCAGGCCAGCCACTGAGAAAGAGCTCTGTGGCCTTCTGGTGTGTTGCGGCTGCGTCATCATTTGGGACGCATTTATGGTTGACGTAGGCTAACACACCTTTGTCCCACTCGATGCCTTCTAACTGCGAAGAGCCTGTCACCAGCATCTTCAAGATGGACCCTCCTGGAATTGCAAGCGAAAAGCCACCTCGTGCGGCCACGGCCTCTTTGGCAGCCTTCGCGACCTCCGAACAAAGCTGAAAGGCAACCGCATCAGCGTCAGGCTTGATTACGATGCTGCTGGCAGCCGCAGGTGGTACTCGCTCTGGTAATGCTCGGCAGACTGAAGCACCCTTGAGCTCACACCGACCTTTGACTGCGGCCCTTTCTCGACGGCAAGATGACACAGCCGCAAAGAGACTCCCGATTGCCCAAGCACTGCGAGTCAGGGAACCCTGCGCCTTCTGACTTGGATGACACAACCCAATTTCACATCCTGGGCTCGCCACGCCTCGTGTTGGAATCTGAGTAGATGCAATTGGAGAGATGCCGGGAACCGAGATCATGATGAGGGCAGCAGGCTTATCTGGTCTTTGTACGCTTGAGCCGTACGTCAAGGCCCATTGTATGGCTTTCGGGTGGAGGCTTTGGGGTTTGGTTGACGTAGGCTCGAGAGAGAGAGATGTTTCCTGTTCGATGTTTAATACCTGCACACGACAGATGAAACGCTAGATGCTGCAAGCAGGTCCAGGCTTGTCAGCTTGCAAAACTGATGCCGACAAGAAGCAACACCGAGTCCTGTTTCAGCAGTACAGCAAGGCAGCCGCAACATGGACGATTGTGCTGGCTTCGCATGCGAAAAGGCCACAGCTACCGGAGACCACAGACCCCATGCAAACAGAACCGTTTTCGGTGCATAAATCGGCACACACATAAACATGTACCTGTATGTACATCCATCCATAGATACATCCCTCCATCCCCCATACGATACATACATACGGTACACACGCTACATACATACAATACTCACATACATATTCGACATAGATACATACGTACATACATAGATACATACTCGCCCTACGAATTGACTTCCAGGCCCTTACCGGTCATCCCGGAATCCGGCACCTAATCCAGAACCTAACATGCTGCAAGGAGGGTGGCCTTTCAGGGAAGGTTGTGGCGTTCCCTGCAGCCTGGCCTCAGAACCGAACGGACGAAACTGCGGAACACAGGTTCTAGCGGTTTTATGGCTGTCTGAGTTTAGGGAGATTTGTGGAGTCTAGTATACATCGTGGATATCTTATGAGAACTTGGTGGTGGATGACAACTTGGAACATGTCATCCACGAAGAGTTTCTACCGAATTATGTTGATCTCTTCCTTCTTTATGACCCATTCCCTTATTGATTAATCCTCTTTTTTAGTTCACAGACTTCCTCGGCCTATTCCGTACACGATGGTACGCTGTCGCGCCATAGTTTCAGGAATGCTCAGGCGAATGCACGTATTCCAACGTATTCCTAGTCCTAGATGGTCCTATAGCGGAAATCTTCCAGTACTCCTGAATAAGTACAATGGTAAGCGTTTCCGGTACATTATTTTGGGGTCCTTCCAATAAGGATCCTAGTATTTGTCCACTATTTTCGGAAACTCCCCAAATTCCTGTCGCAAGCGTTTTTCTACAGTGGATCGGCCCGGAGTCTGCTCATCTCAGGCCGATGCTAGCAGCACTTCAAAGCAGTAGACACAAAGGTCCTGCCAGTTTGGTCTTTGGTTTTGTTGCTTTGGATTTTCTGCATGGACATCTCTGTTAAGCGTATGAGTGGGTACAGCCCTTCCGTCTGGTGAGCAGAACTCTGTGTCGCCTTCTCAGACCTCGTGGGAAACTACTTAATTCATGGTGTTGTGGTCTGAAGAAGGGCGTGCTGATGATCCCGTCCTTTTGCACAAAACACAGTAGCGACCCCGGAGGCTTCCCCAGGCGTGAACAGCTAGAGAGAATTGGCAGAATGCAAGGTGGATGTGTCTCCCACCTCTGCATTGCACAAGTAACATCCACCTCGATTCAGCACCCTCCGCAAGGGACCCATCACGACAAAGTTGCTGAACGCGTGTCAAACGTCGTGTACCGACGTGCCGGTTACAACATGGAGTGAGGAGGGATGATAGGTCGAATTCCATGCAGGTACCATTACCATTACCATCAAACACGAAGCCCCTGATCAAATAGCTCCGCTATCCCTCGCGTGCCGAAGGTCCCAAGGAACGTGATGCGCCCATCTTGCAGAGACATGGTGTGGACGACGTTTCGATGGATTTTCGATTGTCAACACCTGTCATGTTGAAACGTCTGCATGGACGACATTCGGCCGAACGACATGACACTGCGCCACAGGTTCCCCATCCGTCTTCGGGACCCTCAATCCTACCCCATCCTGCGCTGCAAGACAAACTGGCTTAGGCGGTCCGGCCTGGGTGGCGGAGGACCTTGCAGTGAACCCAAGTCGAATGCTACGCCGCCACGCTGCAACCGACATCAACTGAAGCAGGGTTGGATATCCTATGACCCATGGGTTCTACTTAGAGGTTCATCCCCCGCACTCAACAACCTTTGCCCCACAATGGTCTTCTGGAACAGGGTGCTAGTGTCCTTCTCTATGAGCGCAGAGCAATCGCCAGTCCACTCATTAGACTCAGAATACCTCGTACATGTGCAGTTTCATTAGGTAGTGGCCGCACACAACAAAACACACACACACACACAGAGACACACTCCCTCGCTCTCTCACACACACTCATGCGCATGCCGCTCTGAAACAAGAAGCGTGACATACAACAGTATCACTGCAAGCCAACCGTAAGGCAACCTATATAAGCCAAACAGTGACCCCCAATAGACCCACTGCCAATCCTTGAGTTCAGGTTCTTGTACGTGGGATCCTATAGGAAATGTGGCACCAAAGGCCCATGCCTTCAATTTCAAGCCGTGAACACTAAGTTGCATGGAACCCTAGCCGTGAAGATCAATGAAACCATCCCCTTTAAAACTAGGTGCGGGGAAGGCCACCATCAGCCGCTTGGAGGGATGAACGACGATGTAAGTGCCCAGGGCTGGTAGAAGGTCGCACAATCAAACTGGAGCTAGCCAGATGAAGACATACCTCTCTGCCCGGTTTCTGGTGTGCAGGGCTTCTAGATTCCAGCTATTTAGGTAAGAACGCGTCCATCACCACTGATGTAGTCTGAGCGCCTTGCATATCATCACTAAGGCCGGGCCGAACGCCCTTTAATGGTGCAGATGCCTGCTGCGGAAGGGTGCATCCTGACTCTCTATGGTTAGAACTGCCATGATGGCATGTATCTCTCTCACTCTGCCGTGCCATCATCAAGATGGCATGTATGGTGGTCATGAAAAGTGTCTGCCACAAATCTCGTAAATATTACTGCATACATTCAATGCTTATTCAATGAAGGTATCCGAGTGTGTAAGCAGTTTCAAGGCCTGAGGTCTTTTGAAAACTCGTGGGTCAATTGTTTAAGTTGCATCTTCAGTCGTCGTTGTAAAACTGCATGATAGCCTTGGCTGGAAACTGCGGGGATCGTTACACGCCGACCACTGAAGCACGCGCTGCAGGATCTGAATCGCAGGATGTGTTTGGGACCTGTTTTGGTGCACCAGAAGCAACCTGCACAGCCTTTCTTGCTGCATTGCTAGCATTGCTTCATATGGTTCGGCTATGCCAGCTACGATCCCCTAAACCGCTTAAGTGCCTTGCTTGGCAGGCGTGGCTGCACCCAAAATAAAGATCTAAACCACAGACATCAATGTAACCCCTCCCCCCTCAAGTACATGAGGATGGACAAGGCAGGGGGCGGTGGCGTGGGTTTTCGGCTCGAAGGAGAGCTTTGGGGTTCCATCAAGATAACAACCTAACCGGAAAATACACCAAGATATCATCAACTCTAGTTGAACTAGTGATCTTACTTCGAAGAGTCACAATAGGTGTAGATTCTGCATCCCTTGGTCAAGTTGCCCAGGCCTCGCTGGTCTTCTGCATGACAGCATTGCCCAACTGCCGGCCCCTAAATCAATCCTACTGGGCTTCAAAGGCAAACTTTTCAGCCTGTTTAGGATCGCCTTAATCATGAGACTGTAAGCCTCGTCTCAGCATTATATGGCGCACAGCGAGGTGAAGAGTGAGGAAAGGTCTCTTAAAAAGCTGGGGCAGCAATTAAGCTTACTGTAGCATGAAGGCTCCAGAACAACACGAATGCTTGTGACTACGACGGCTGTGCACATGCCTAACGGTCCATGCATGATAAACACTGCATGTGGCTCGCAAGCGCCCGGAGGTCATGCATTTGCCAGGCGACACCGGTAATACAGGGGCCATAATAACTACCTACACCATTTGGGGGGGTTCCTTATTGTAATGATAGTATAATGGGCCCCAAAACCCTACTCTAATTGTTTAGGCTCCTTCCTACAGTAACAAACCTTGCTGTCGCTTGCCGACCACCCGGAGTTTTCCTCTGAGGCCTGGGGTTTGCGTTTTTTTTTAGCTTAGGGTTTAGTTTTTTTTTTTTTGTGGGGGGGGGGGAAAAAATAGTAGAAATAGGGGTCCTAGGGTCTGGGTGTTGGTGTGTTGTCGTGTCTGCTTCGTTTTTTGTTTTTCGTCACTGTCTCCCACTTGTTCATAACCCTCGTCGCCTTATTCGTTTCTTATTTTCCTCCTCTGGGGTCTGTTTCATTCGTTGGGTCTCTGCTTCGTTTTCTTAAAAGCGTGTCTCATTCGTTTTATCATCTCTCTTCGTTAATCTTGGCCCCTCCTTCGTTTTTCTCTCACTCCCCAGGATCCCACGCCCTCATTTAAGTATTTGTCGCCACTCATTCGTTTTCACTTTTCCTCTCTCTTACTTCCTCAACACTTTTTGACTTGTCCCCTAGCTTCGTTTTCTCGTGGTTTGTCTCTAAGCTTAGCTGGGCTTTAGTTAGGCGGTTCATAGAAACGGCTAACATAAAGCCATGATTGTAGAGCTTCGGGTTAGCCATTGGGTTAAATTTTGGATATTCCTGGGGCTTAGTGGGCGACTTCTTCATCAAGCACATGGATTATGACATCAAACGACAAAGGTGACACTGCCTCGCTTTGCAAGTGAAGCTGTCTCGCAATGCAAGTGAAGCTGTCTCGCAATGCAAGTGAAGCTGTCTCGCAGTGAGTTTGAATTGGAAGCACTCAGATGTATTTGATGTTTCATGTGAAGCATTCAAGTGTAGCATCCTATCCTTTTGTCGACCCTTCCCTTTCAGCACAGTCATGGTGATGATGCGTGTGGTGAATCTCAAGGAGGGGGCGGAGTGGGAAGAGAAGGTGGAGGAAGTCTCCGAGGCGATGACAGGTGATGAAATCACTGACGCTTTCGGTGAGGGCTTCCACAACCCGGCCGCTTACATCACCACACAGCCTGAGGGTGACAATTTCGTCACGACCCACCCACTCATTGGGATGCCGGTTTCCATCGGTGCCTACATGGTCAGTCAAGGAATCAACCCGACTGACCCTACGGTGGTGTTGAACATCATTGAGTATGACGTGTATGCCGAGCTTGAGGGATTGGACGACGATGACAATGAAGAGAGCGAAGAGGAGGAGGACAAGTTTAACGACGACCCTGTCATCATCACAGATGGCAAGGACGACAAGAACGACAAGGACAAGGACAAGGCCAGCTCAAGCACAGACACGATGCTTTACGATCCTAAGTTGGACAAAGAGTTCATGGCATTCTTTGAGGGCATGAGCGAGGACGAGCTTCGCAAGTGGCTTGAAAAGAACACCCTTGACTTGACGAAGTTGCATTCCCGCATCGTCTTTGTGAAGAACCACCTGAAGGGCATCGAGAAGGAAGCGAACAAGGCGAGGACCATCCAAGCCAAGAAGGACAAGTTGGCTACAGAGAAGGAGGCGCGTCGTCTTGGTCGTGAGCAGGAAGTGGCGCTGAACTTCAGGCTCCCAAGCGGTGAGGTGAAGAGTATCAGCATCAAGAAGAGCGAGACAATCGGCACCCTTCGGTCTATGATTGCGGTTAAGATGGGCATCGCGAAGAGCAAGGCCACGTCATTGAGGCTGGTTCATGGTTCCGACACGCTTTCGGAGCGACCCCGTCTGTCGGTTGGTGGAGCCAAGCTAGAGGACGGGGCAATCCTTGACATTATGGTGTCAGGGCGAGGCGGAGCTCCGTCTTTGAAGAAGGCCATCTTGAAGAAGAAGAAGGCCTTGACATCCGTGACAAAGTCAGATGCCGACACTTTCAACCGAGGCTTCGCCAGTGCGGTGTCGGTTTGTGGCTTTGAGGTCATTCGCATCCCCGAGATGATTGAGAGCATGGAGACGAAGACGCTGACGGAGCTGAAGCAGTACTTGACCCACAACAGGGGCAACGTTGAGGCAAAGCTGAACAACATCGCAACGTATGCAAAGGAGATGAAGCAGATGATCGCCGTCACCGACAAGCTTGAGTATGCCTGTGCACACTTCCGCGAGGTGATGTTCAACTCGTTGCTGAGCCACTACGGCAAGGATGACGGAACGATTAAGCTGAGCGACATGGTCAGTGATATCAACGTAGCTTTGGCTGTGCGTGAGAAGTCCGGAAAGAGTGAGGATGCCAAGATGGACGACTAGGGGTCTGTCTCACCCAGTGCTGTTGGAGTAGTCATGCCCCTGTGCTCAAACCACCGTGCCACCATACACAAAACACCATACCTGTATGCTCCTCTGCTCCAACCACCATTTCGGATGGTGAAACCAGCATCGGCTAGGATGTGGCAAACGCTACTAAAAAATGGTCAAAACACCATCCTCCTATGCTCCGCGCACCATCGTTTATGCTATGCCCCACCATACCATAATGCTATGCCCCACCATTACCATAATGCTATGCCCCACCATACCATAATGCCTCAAAAGCCATCGTGAAAGCCACATCCGTTTTTCTGATTGCTGAAGCCACCATCAAGACTGAAGCACCGAAGGCTACGACGTCCGAGCCAAAATGAAGCGATGCAAGTAGAAGCCCAATAAGTTTAACATATGTCGTATTTAAAAATAGTAGCAAACATGACAGGTGATCAAGAACACCGACATCACTCTCTTCTGGAGCTACTTGAAGGTCCGAGGGTTTAGGGTTTAGTTTAGGGTTTAAAACTTTAATTCCCGAACTTCGGAAAAAGGATTGGCTCCGAGAGTCAAACGAACAACCATCTCAGAACTGAAGCGTGACAAGTCGGGAATCCGGCTGTTTCAACAAAGCATTGCGATGGCCTCAGTCTCGTCTGCACTCGGTTTTAGGGTTTAGTGCTTTTTCTTTGACCCTAAGCCCCTAAAAGAAAGAACGGCTCAAGTGCGCAGGATGGAAAAACCCTACCAAAAAATTAGGGTTGATTAGGTGCTTTTTTTCTACCCTAAAACCCTAAAGAAAGAAGCGACAGAGAGATTTCGGCTCAAGAAACATAAAAACCAAGATACAACATCAAATGTAGTGAAATTTCGTGTTTCAACACCACAATATAAATAAAACCCTGAAACATACAGTAAAAACATAGGCAAATAACAATGAAAATCAAGCCATGAAAAATAAAACGATAATTATCAACATAAAAATTCTGATCAAGATTTTAAGACGTCATTCCGAGGGAAACGTTACAACCCAAACCCGATAAAACCAAACCGCCGACGCAAAACCCCACCCCGAAAATACTTAAAGAAAAAATAGCTTATAATTATATGGAGCAAGGGGAATTACGAAATGTGTTAGATTATGTATTAAGCAGTGGCACGGGCAACATTAAAACCCGAAATAATAAAACATACAAGAAGGTTGTAATAAATGACACAGAATATTATTATAATAGGGAAAAGCCCATAGCCACAAAACTAAAAACCAAACTAGAACAAATAGCTAAAACACAGGAGTTTAAAAGATACAACATATTAAAACGTGCAGCCAAAGGCATAGCAGTAAGAAAGGCTTTAAAGAAATACGCCATCACACAGAAAGCCAACATAACAGAGGAACGAAGCGCATTTAAACGATATGCCAACTCATATTCAATAACTAATATTAACCTTCAAGGCTACAAGGGCTTATCATATTTAAAATACCAAGAACCCAGATTAAAAGAGTTTTTAACGAGAAACAACAATATGAAAATCAGAATAGATGTAGATATATCTTTTAGACACCCAGAACACGAAGAACCACAAATACACAGAATACCTAGTAGAATTTATACGATCAACAACCATGAAGAACTAAAAACAACAATAGACAATATGGCATCCGACATAGAAATAAAGATTGAGAACTCACAACTGAAAAAGTCGGGTTTTCAAATAAAGAAGATTGAGAAGATCACCATACATTATGACAGATACAACCCAACAAGGGCAGGTAAATATATTGAACTTCCCAAGTGGATAGCAGATAAAAAGGCTTGTATTAATATTAAGAATGACGACGAGCTGTGTTTCAAATATTGTGTTCAAGCAAAGTTTTATGAGATAATGAAGAAGGACCACCCCGACAGAATGTATCATTATAGAAGCTTAAAGGACGGCTTAATCAATTGGGGTGATGTTGAATTTCCAGCTACGCTTTCAGACATAGACCACTTTGAAGAAATCAATAAAAATACCATATCAGTGAATGTTTATGCCATTGATCCAAACGGAACAAACACCATTGTAGTTGATAGGATAACGAATATTCAGAAACCATCGTGTCACATTAACTTGTTGCTTTTAGAACGAGAGAATTATAATCATTATGTTTTAATAAAAGACTACAACAAGTTAATGGGAGCACAAACTAACAAATACAAAGGAAAGGTGTTTCATTGTATGTATTGTCAGCACGGTTTCACTAATGAGAAGTTGTTGAACAATCACCTAATAAAAGGATGCATGGCGAACGAAGTTCAACAAACGAAGATGCCGAAGGAAGACGAAAAGATGTTCTTCAAAAATCACTACAAGAAACTAAAATGTCCTTATGT